ATTCTTCAACACAGTCTAAAAGCTCTTAGGATGTTGGCTGCCTTTTGTTCCGTTCTCTGTCATGATCCCACGTTATTTCTATAAAGTTGAAGTCTGGGCTCCTGGAAGGCCAGTCCATGACTGATAGTGTTCCATTGTGTATGACTTTACAACACTGGTAGTGTGTTCGAGAAAATGAAGGTGCAGTAGGCATATTCCAGACGGGAATGCATGGTCGATCAAAGAAAGATGGTACATTTGCGCATTCAGAGTTACATTGACAATATCTCTAAAGCCTCTAGATGAAATGCAGCCCCCAAACATGATACGGCCTCCACCGTGTTTTACAGATGACTGTTGTACTTCTCCCCTGACCTCGCCCTCCAGATGCATCTAGTTAATTCTTTGCTAAGCTGTCTGTTATGTGTAGACACAACATTGGTTCATCCCAAGAGTTAGATCCTTTTTTATGTTAAAATGATTAAATGGGGAGTTTGTATTGCATACTGCGTACTGCAAACACATGACGGACTATCATCATGTGACTATCACGTGGCCAGAAGTTCACCTCAGTGAAGTTATGAAAAGAAATAGGCAGATACACTAAATTTAAACCAAAATTAATGTTTTAAAAATTGAATTCAAACATCCTGACAGAAGCAATGGCTCTCTGGATCCATAGTCTTTGCTGTGAGCGGTTATCATTAAAGGTACTTTGTAGTTGCCATTTGCACCCAGCAACCTTAGATCTGTAGACTGCCCCACTCAAAGAAATCCATCACTAATTCAGCACCATCTTTTAAATCCACTTCTCAAAATACACTCCCGTAGACTTGCTTTTATGTGATTGCCTTTTGATCTTGCCAACTTTTAACCTTGCGATGCTTACCCATGCATTTAAAAAAAAAAAAAAATCTAATTTCATTTCACAGAGTTGTTTTTCCTTTTGATCATGTTTTCTATTTTTATTTCCCAGCTGCATTTTATTCTTTATTCATTTGTCTTTTCATTATTTAATTTTTGCCCTTTCTGCTTGCTTGTTATGAATTTTGTGAACTACATTTGGGCAATTGCTATTTTCAACGTTTCTCATTTTTGTTGTCATTATACTACCTCTTCAAAGGAGGTTATGTTGATTCTGCCCATGTTTGTCTGTTAGCAAAAAGCCAGAAAGGTGATTTCAATTGAATTTGCTTTGCATTTTTTTTGCCTTATTGGAATCAGTACTACACCACTCCCATTTGTACCTCAACACATCTTCGACCACCTTAAACTTTTTTCACCCTTTACTGAGCTTATTTGGTAGACATATACATGCTACTTTATTGTGACTGGGTTTCAGTTGGGCTGTTTTTTCATTAATGCCATAAATCTAAATAAGGCCATCTTGCATTAAACACAGATTACAGCCCTTTCTCTAACAGCAACTCAAGAGATACTGGGGAAAAAAACAGAAAGGGGAAATGAGAGTCTGACTCCATGCTGCAGTCTGCTTTGTGTCAGTTATATGTTTCTGTGTTTTATTAATGCTGTGACGTCTGTAGCTTCAATTCCTGCCGTCTTTCAGATCCACAATTCTTCCATGATGCAGAACAGTGAAATAATAAACAGCACAGCTAAACAGTGCAAGGCTGGACCGAGCCAACTTATCCAACATCCAGTCATTCGTGACTGTTTGTTCATCATTAACCACTGAACTAAACAGTGCATCACAGCGGTTCATAATACGTCCTGCCAACAGATAACAGGCTGGAGACAGAGCTATGAGCTGGAACTCGCCAAGCTGACAAAACAGATTCTTTTTGTAGGATAGTCTAAATGCTAGCAACAGCATGAACTTGTATTGACATAACACAAAGTCAACAGTTAGCGCTTGCATGCTGTGTCAAGACAGAAATGTCAGAACTTCCGCACTAAGCATCTTCTCCTGTTTGCATGCACTGCCCAAAGAGAGATGTGGATCTGTTTACTGTGGGATGGAGTTTGACATGCTGGCATTTTTCTGCTTTTATCAAAGCTGACATATATTGTTTGATTATTGGTCTGTTTATAATTTGGATCATAAATAGAGACAGTATGTGTGAGATAAGAGGGGGATGTTGTGTTAATGGGAAAGTGGTCATCAGTGCTTCCCAATGTTTTCTTTCTTTACAGCATATCCCTGTCAGATGAACAGTATTTCAACCAATATTTATATCTATAAGTAGTTTTATGGATTATGTGAGCAGTGTTTACCTGTTTTAAAGTTCTAACCTCTCTCTTAAGTATTTAAATGTTTTATCACTACTTTTAGCAAACTATATCTGCTTGCTTCAGTAAGTAGCTTTAAAACAATTGTTGGCATTGTGCTGATGTTGCAACTGGCTCGGGCTGATAGGAGGTACAGGGCAGTCCAGATGTAGCTAGTGGCAAAATCACTAAGGGTCAGTTTCATAGCAGTGTTGCTTTAATGTTTTTGTCTCCTAAAGATAAATGTGCAGACAGTGCTTACCACGTCTTAAAAGGAAATAAATGAGATGAACAAAAACATGCAATACGTTTCACCATATCATTATTATCATTATTATTATTATTATTATTATCATTATTATTATCATTATTTATTTAACAAAGCACTGAGCTAAAATGCAGAAGCAGCCGTGACTCAGGACCATTGTGGAGGAATTGTACCCAACTTTTATCTAGGTTTGTGAGCATTCATTTTTGCGCAGCTCTCTACCACAGCATTTCAATCTGGCTGAGGTCTAGGCCATAGCTGCACTTGTTTTTTTAATGTATGATATGCTATGTTTGGTTTTTGCCAAACAGAGAGGTGTGCGTTATGGCCTCTTTAGTCTTGTCTGTACAAACGATGTTGTTCTAGAAGTGTTGTGGTTAGTTCAGATGATGCTTTACAAATATAAGCTGTGCTTTCTCCTGGAAACCCTTCCTAATAATAATAATCATTTATACTTCTTCAGCCTTGTTGGCAATGGCAATTTTATTCATGCAATACATATTTCATTAAGTAAGTAAGGCTTGTAGACTCCGAGCTCTTGGGCTTTTCGCACTTTACCTGGGTGTAGGTTGAATTTCCTAGGGCGTCTACTCCTGGGAGGACTGGCAGCTGTGTTGAATGTTTTCCCATTGTAGAGTAATTAACTTCAGAATTGGCAATGGCCTTGCAACACTTTCCATATTGATGAGCAGCAGCAGCGATAACAGATTCTTTGAAATTATTATTATTATCTTTCCTCCATCACTTTGTGTCAACATGTCTGAATTCTGCAGAACAGCCAAAACTCTGTGTTTATAGAGATCCTCGCACTTGCTAATGATCAATTAATAAAGTGAGTGAAAATGATTTAATTTCATTTCATACACTTAACAAAGTTACCAAACACTTTATAAAGGAATAAAACTGTTGATTTCAAATCATTTCTTTATTATAATTCATTGTTTCACTTTTGGTAAATGGCCTGTATTTGTATAGCGCTTTACTAGTCCCTAAGGACCCCAAAGCACTTTACACATCCAGTCATCCACCCATTCACACACACATTCACACACTAGTAATGGCAAGTTACATTGTAGCCACAGCCACCCTGGGGCGCACTGACAGAGGCGAGGCTGCCGGACACTGGCGCCACCGGGCCCTCTGACCACCACCAGTAGGCAACGGGTGAAGCGTCTTGCCCAAGGACACAACGACCGAGACTGTTCGAGCCGGGGCTTGAATCGGCAACCTTCCAATTACAAGGCAACCTCCCAACTTTTGAGCCACGATCGCCCTATTTTACTAAATAGGGTCAATTCTGTGACCGTGCAATGTTTGCAGTTTATCATATCTGTATGGATCGGTATGGGATCAGATAGCATGAGACATCTTCACATCACCCAGTATCTAAGGAAACTAACAAGACACAGAGCACCAATAACACTGTCACCATTAAGAAAAAGCAGGAGCAAGCTCCCCTCCATGGTCTGCAGAGTCCTAAAGCTTTGATCTGCTGTTGTACAGAGACGACAGACTGGCTGAAGCCCAGTGAGCTGAACCCATGAATATCGAACTGATAGAGCAGAAGCTGTCCCTATCAAAATAGGTTGGAGCCAAATGAGCGACCCATCTCTGTTCATTAGTATGTGATAACCTTATCCATGTTGCTGTAAGGCACAAACTGTGACTTTTTATTTCTTTTTGGAGTCTCCTTATGAGATCAGAAAGGAACAGAGGGACCCCCTGATCTATGCCACCAGTGAGCTAAAGATAGACTGTGATAAACTCAACCCCCTTATTTTTTGTTGTTTATTTCAACAAAATACTAAAAATTACAGTATCGCTTGCAGTACAACTTGCTAACTCAGTTATGCTGTTAGATTCACCACACTGGTAAAGTGGAACTAAATTAAATTTTGCTTGTGTTGCTAACACCTGGGATAAATTGAATTTAAGAAAAAAATATCATCAGCAATCCTTTCCAGAAAAGGGGTCCCAGTAATCCAGGATAATCCACAAAAACACAGTCCACTGTTCTCAGGCAGATTATTTCCTCAGAAGGGAGAAACTGTTCCAAAGATGAGTGCAGATAGTGTGGTTTGAGGATTATTGATTTTAAAAGACATAAAATAAAATGTTTTAAAGTCCTGAAAATACGATCGAATATCAAGGGAAATAAAAAGCAAAACAATTATTTTGTGAACTCGCAAAAAAGTAGTTGTTTTGAGGGGGTCAGAATCTTCATTATATATCATCACCAAGCTGATTTGGCAAACGCCCTGGGAAACATTTGTCTATCCTAGGACTACAATATGCATTTTTATCTCACTTTTGCGTCTCCATCCACACATGAGTAAAAAATCTAGTGTCTCACCTTTCATGCAGTAATTAAACAGAGGCATTACAAACAAGAAAATAATACTTTTGTTAAAATATTAATATTAATACCAGCTTTAACTAACTGTCCCAAACATGTCTGCTTCACCTGAATTCCAGATTTTCCTTTTTTAAATGGTGATACACCAACGGTGAGTCAGAGCCCTACCTTTTCTTGGTACTGACGTCTAGATGAGTCAAGTGACTGGATGAGCGCGGTGGCATGGCCGATGAACATGGCATAGCAGGTGGCTCCTACAATCATACTGAGCATGGTCAGCCAGATGTCCGACATGCTCTCTGGGGCTTGTCTTCCATATCCAATGCACAGCATGTGGCTCATGGCTTTAAAGAGGGCAAAGGAGTACAGCTCGCTCCATGTGTCGTTCTGTAGAAAGAGATATGAGGGTAAGAATCAGTTTAGTAAACAAAATATAAGTTAAAGAAAAAAATATTGAAGAGATTGGAAAGAAATAAGAGAAATCAAGATCCTAGAATAACCTCCACTTTCATATTTTTGGTTTCATGCTTTGGCTTTGACACCTGAAACACTCTTCTTATCTTCTTTGCTGAAGATATACTGTTCATACACATTAGACTGATGCAAGAGAGGGTGAATTAAAGAATGAGTCATCTAAAGAGTAAGACATTCCTGTGGTCTGTGGTTCCGTGTGTGGTGATTGTTTCAGGTTTAGCCCAATCATCATCGTTGAAAAACATCCTCTCACCTTGGCTACGCAGAAGAAGATGGAAACACAGTGTTTGGTTAATGAGGAGCTCATACATCTACCTACTCCAGTGTGTCTTTGATTGGTTCTGGCACACTCATTCTACCTTAGGGTTCATTAGAAAGCCCTCCACAGGCACTACTGAACCTCACATCCTCCCCTCAAATGGTTGTATTCTCACACATACACACATGTACCACAGTATGTGTGTGTATGTGTGTTTCTTCTGCGGCTCCTCAACCTGTCAGCCACTGATTGACTACACATATTTTTCTCTGGCATTTGCATTAAATTTAAGATTCAAGTTCTGCTAGTTTTGGAAGAGGTAAAAAAGGATGTACTGGAGAAGGAATGCTGTCAGGTCTTTATAATTTAGCATTTTAAAGGTGATTTGGAGGAATGCAAATAAAGAAGATGAAATTTCAAAGGCACTTGGTCTCAAGGGATGGGGTTTACCAGAAACTCTTGTGCCCTTGTGTCACTCGGCCTGCTGATTTTGTTTAGGGAAATAAACAGAGCTGTATAATCTGATGCAAAATACTAAAAGCAGCAGTTCTAAGAACCATCACTATGTCAGCTTTGTTATTTCTACACAATACCACCTTCCAACTACAATACTTCCTTTACTTTAATTCGTAAACATTAATCATTAAGCACATTAAAATAACAAATATTATCTGCAAACCCTGAGAATATATGAAAGTGCAGAGTTTGAGACTAATTGACAAATTATGGAGGTAGTGTGTAGGCAGTCCATTGACAGTCTGTGAGCAGACTGGTCATCTTCCTGCAGTGACTGCCCCCAGTGTCAGATATATATGCTACAACTTGTCTGCTATGTTTTGTTCTGTTGGTCCATCAAAGTGAAATCAAGTGTTGGGAACAATAAAAAGTGTCCACTGCAGCGACTGTCTGTGCTGTAAATACAGATTTTTTTATTTCATCCTTAATGGTTTCTCCTTTTGCTCCCTTCCCTCTGCTCCCTTCTCAACCAATCAGCATTTGACTGCAACACAGCATTATCCGTTTCAAGGGATTTGGAGGACTGCACAGGAGCTCGGTTGCAGTTGCTGAAAACCCCTCTCGTAAGCGCTTCATAGGCAAATATCTCTGCAAATGGACACAACCAGGCTAGCATAAATTAAGCATAAGTCTCCCTGACTGCCACAGGTGGCGAACAGACGTGGAGTGGCCATCAGCATGTGGGCCACATTGCTGGTGAATAAGCAGCAGGAGCAGGGAGCCCCAAGGTGTTGAAATAAACACCCTCTTTCAGTCAGCTGCATGTATCTGCCTGTTTCCAGCTTATTCTCCTATAGTCAAATACATGTGTACATTAATATACAGTACACACTGTATTTCAACCGACAGAGCTTCACCGCAATATAAATATATTGCGTTAAGTCATCAAATGGAATTTACATGTGGCATGGCTACTGGTGCCAGACAGGCAATACCAGAAGTATTTCAGAAAGCGCTGATTTAGTGGTCTTTTCAATCATAACCAACAATAAGGTTTATACAGAATCATCTGAAAAAAATGAGTTATACAGTGAGCAGTGGGTCGCTGAACAAAAACCCTTATTTATGTCATAGGACAGAGGAGAATGGCCACATTACAGGAAGGTAAGTGTAACTTAAATTACCACTCATTATAAAAACATGTCAAACCTTGAAGCAGAGAGGCTAATGCAGCAGAAGACCGCACCAGGTGCCACTCGAGACTACAACTGACCCTGAGTTTGCTGTGACATTAGAATGGTATATGTAAACAACACAAGTGAAGGCCACATTGGCTAAAGATAGGAGAAGAAAGTGGAGGAACAGAAGAAGAAGAAGTATGGGGGTGGGGAAAAAAGTCGGGGATGAAGCAATCAGACATGCAGTGTCTCCGACTGCTGCATTTGTAACGACAGACAACACCTGAAAGACAAAACAGAGGGAGGTAAACAAAAAAATACACAGTTTTGCTGTGTGTAAACTGATGATGTTGAAATCTGCAGTTGTTTAAAAATGGCTCATCCACCTTCTGGAATGATCTCTCCAAAGCCCCGAACTCAACCCTAATGAAAACTTGTGGATTATCCTTAAAACCCGGATCAGTGCCAGGAAACCGACCAAAGAATGAACCCTGTCAATTCAGTCAAGAGGGGTGCTCAAATATCCAGCTAGATTTATGCCAGAACTTGTTGATGGCTACCAAAACTGTCTGACTTGTGCACCAGATTCATTGGTTTTTTTTAGTCATTAAAGATGAATGCTGTTCAATTATTCCATCCTGGAAAAAGAACACTTCAAAGAAATCGTTAAAAGCCCAAACATTACCCTGACATTCATGCCCATCATGAGTGGATGTAAACTCCTGATCACAAATCTATGAAAGTTAAACGTATGCCTGAGGTTTTGGCTCACAGGGTTTACTCGTACATATGCTGACACGTGACAATCCTCCTAGGTAACAGTGAAAACAGAAAATTAGGAGAAGCATCGTGGGTCCTCTAAACACACAGCAAAACTCATTCTGAGGCATACGATGCTTTAGAGATAAAGGTGGCATTTCGTGATGCGTGCTATTTTGCAGTCTTGAGAACAAAGAAAGTGAATAATCATGGCATCCTCAGTGTTGAACTGTTCGCTCGCATGTGACTGCATGACCAAGAAAACCCTCTGAGACGAGAGCAACACACACACTGACCAGCTGCAAGCAGTTAGCATGTGTTCAAGTTTGTGATAACAAGTGATTAAAACTGACACAGTGCACAGCTGTCTGTTACTATTGAAAATTACAACCTTCATAATAACACAATAAACTAATTCTACAGAGATACCACCCTATGTGAGGGTGGGGAGTGAGATGGGTGGGACGAATTAAATTAGCGCTTGTGTTCATTTTATTCGCTATCAGTCTTCACTGAGCAACGCCGATGATCGCTAATTGTACATAATACATTTAGAGGAGAGCACAAAGGGAGTATGGGACATCTATGATGCACGATGGCGTAATTATAGAATAGTGGGTGTACGTGCATGCTGGCACACCCGGCTGGGTGTACGAGGTGTTTGGCTCACAGCATCTATTCAGCTGTATGAGTGCTGAACATCTCTTAAACACACTGCAGTCCCTCTCTCTGAAAGTCTACAAGTGACAGAGGGAGTTTGGTTTGCTTCAAAGAGCCTACATTTAGAACTTTAATATGTAAAGTTCCATGAAAGTGCTTGTTAGCAATGTAAAGATTCATTATTTAGAAGCAGTGGGTCCATGTTTGTATTTATTATTCAAATGCAAATGAGTCCAGAAAGTTGCAAGATGTTTTGGTGTCTGCTTGAATTACGTAACAGTATTAATTAAGAACGCTGACTGTAACAGCACAGCGTAATGTGTTTGATTAGAGTGTTCATGCATAAAGCTACTGTAGCTTCAGCGTGTCAGAGATAAATGATGGACTAACGAGGAAGACGCCAGATCAGATGAACGCTAAATCACAGGTTTTAATTTCTAATTTTATTTAATTTCTTTCCTTAATTAAACTACAAGCTTTTCATTCAGCATCAGGTGTGGGGCAATTCACCTAAGGGTGAACCAAATGCAGTATTTTTTTATTTTCTGTTATTTGCTTCACTTACATGCTGTGATTTTACTTTAATATTCAGAGATTTTCCACGATTAAAGCCTGACGTTTCTGGGGGGAAATGCAGCTATTCCACAAAATTAAACTGGCGTCACCAATTTTGTTTTGTAAAAATGTAAAAAGCTGACGGACAAGCACAGCAAATATGATTCAGTATCTTTAATGTTTTTAAAATCCATATGAACATTCTTGAAATATTTCAGTGTAAACCAAACTGGTGGGACTGACATCCCCCAAAGCCATACTAGCCATCTACTAGTACGGCTACAATTTATAGGAATAGCCCATTAAAGGAACGCTTGTGATGTATGTGTCAATAATTCAGATTTTATGTTTCAGTCTGGTTTATTGAAGTCATACTCCTGTGTATTGTTTAATTGACTTTGTTGAATGTGAAATGAATGCCTGTAAATTATATGTCCAATTGAAATGATCTGTAAGAAGAATTTGCCTCTGTGGATCGAAGCTTCCTGCTCAATAAGCTCTTATTATTGGATTTTGGGTTTATTAGCCTTTATGTGGAATTTCTCCTTTGACAAATATGTGGAGGGAGAGATTCAGAATCATATTCACAATGAAAAACTCTCCACACAGATAAAAATGATCCACTTACTTGCTGGCTATGCAAGCAATATTTAATCTCTTCTCTTTAGCTCTCTCTCTCTCTACATATATATATATATATATATATATATATATATATATATATATATAAAACTGATATAATGTTTGTATTGTATGTGGACGGGAGAAGATCACAGCTGCCATCTATGCGCATTCAGCAAAACTGAAAAACTTGCCATGCAAGTCTAAGTTTTCTGAGGTTACAAATTACAGGTGGACTACAGTGATTGATAGTACTTTAAGTTCGCACGGAGTCTTTGCTGAAAAGAAATAAGGGTTCAGTCAGACCATCGGGTCCTCTAACAAACCCCACCTGCGTGGGCTGTATCATTTGGAGGATCCGGTCTCTAAAGTGAGATGCAGCTGTAGTATTCACAACTGCTGTTTGTGTGCAGCCATGTGCATCCAGAGATTCTGTCTAGTTAATGATGCAAGCTGTGGCCATATGAGTCAAGCCCAAAAGCATCTATTCTGTTCTCGACCAAGTACAAGTTTCAAGTTCGGTTGTTTAAACACTGACAATAAAAAGGAGAGGAAGAATAATTCTGCAGGGCTTCGAGACATTTTTAAGAGACATTTGCTTTGCTGTTTTGTTTTTTAGCCTTGGTAGCAACACAAGTCTGTGGATGACAATGTGATTAGTCACTCTAACAAATGGGTTGGGCCACAGTTGTCTTCCCCACCCCACAAAAGGAACTACATTCTCAAACCTATGAGATTTCTTAGTTAACTCAGCTCTCAGTCTCTGACATGCATTGTACAATGTGATGCTATAGAAGGCATATTCTACTTATTTATACTGATCTTAAAAACTGAGCTGAATTAAAGGAGCAATCAGTCTCATTTTGGTGTGCAATTTTCTTATATTCATCTCTCTTTTTGCAGATAGGTTTCAGAAAAATATAAGTATTCCAACAATTGCTCATCCTAAGCATATTTCAAAAGCTTTTCCTCCCACATTTAGATTTCTAACCAACTATGGGATACACTTCAGGTTACACTGAGGTTTGTATTTATGTATTTATTTTGAAGTTTGCCTTCATTATAAAGTAAAGCAGCAAAGAGCATTCACTGCTTTTTACTACACGGCTAAAAATGACAAGACAACTTTTCTTCATAAAATGGGGTTGGTTTCACCGGGGCAACTTGGCCCACAAAGACTGCAGCCCCAACCAGCCCGTGAGGCTGTTTTTTCCTTTTCTATTTTTTTAGCTAGCTACAACATGACTTGACCTTGCAAGAATTTTTAATCCTCTTCAACAAAAATACATGTCTGTGGGCTGCAACAGTCACTCTGACTTAAAAATGCATTTAATTAGCTAAACTTTGTCAATTGGTTTCTTAAAGTCTCTCTGTTGTATTGCCTGCTGTAAATAGCACCACCCACTTTAACTTTTCTTAAAAATCTGTACCAAATTAGCACTGAGAGTGGCTGTCAGGTCATACACAGCAGTTATTATTCACACACATATGCAACATTTCCACACACAGACCTCACACAGTAACTGTCCATTATTTTTATATGCACTGACAGGCCTGTTTGCCAGTTCGGTCACTTCAGAATGAATGGAGGGCCTCGTTATCAACTTCCAAAGCATGAATGTTTCTTGAAGTGCATCTCTGTGTGCCTCAATACAGTGCAAATGCATAAATAGGTTCTCACAAATTGGTGTTCTGTTGCAGTTACAGCAGCTCTTCTGCTTCTCCAGTTATAAAGAAACGCAGTTCATTTTTGATGCAGAGAAAGAAGTCGAGAGGAAAAGAGCGTCTTTATTCTAATGCCATTGATATAACAGCCAATCAGGCCAAGGGAGATGGGACAAAACCACCTGTCATCTTTCACATAACAGAGAGTCACTTACATAACAGACCACGATCATCCGGTCTCTTGATCACTCTGCAGCAGGAGCCTGATTGTCGACTTACAATAAACACCACTGTCTGCTGCAAGAGTATCTTTTCCCTTATTGAGTGTTAAGAGGCAGAGATGAATACACTGCAGAAAAAAAACAGTCTGAAGGAGGATATTTTGACTATCACTTAGTTATACTGTACTATATATCACATGCACACAAATCTCAGCCAAACACAACACATCTATATAAAGGGACATGCATAAAAATGCACATAAGAATAGCTACTGAAGAAACGAGTCCCATGTTTTTCTCAGGAATGGCTTTCTTGCCCTATTTCCATAACCCTAAGTGCATGCATGACGCAGAGAGCAAAACAGGGTGGAGTCCAATAAATGTCCAGTGCAGGCAGGCAGCCTGTCAGCCCGAGGAGGCACGAGGATCATTTAACGCTGGATCTCTTACTCAAAGCAGCTCTGAAGAAGATGTGACCTTGATTACCCTGAAATGGCAGTGACAGGGCACACCAGGCAGCCACACCCACATGTGTGCTCGCTGGCATTATGGCAGCGAGCTTGGAAAAAGGCACAAGCCCTAAACAACACACGTCACTCTGGAAAACTGAATGTATAAGGAAGGAGATATCAGCGAAAGAAGAAGTGGGGCATGAAGGATAAAAGAGTCACTGAAAAAGCAACATATAAAGCAATTTTCCATACATACAAATCCATACATTCAAGAAAGAGAGATAGAGGAAATAGGATGGCCAGAGATGAAACTAGAAAGAAAGGGATGGAGTGACAGAGAAGTAACAACAATCTCCCCTAGGGTCAATTGGTGTGAGATCCATCTGTTCCTAGAGATCACACACACTCATAACAGAACACACCTATTCATGTAAACACCATAGCACCATAGTACACAGTGTATTTCAGGGAACTGAATGCCAAAAATCTCTGTGCCAAAATTAGAAGGTTTTCTTCCAGCATATCAAGCATTTCTCAGCTGCAGCAGAGTCAGCCAGTGCCTGACAAAAGCATAAAGAAGGAATTATCCGGTATGCTGAACTTCCTTAGGAGAAGGAGCAAAAGATGTAATGTTCCCCATAAAAAATGGTTTCAAGACAGTTACAGTTATGTGGAGAAATAAGCATCCGGCAGCCAACCAATGACGTCTTTTAGCTCTGTCAGATAATTCGATGGTTTCTAGGACTGTTGATATTGCTGTCAATTAATTAAGATTAAGACTATTTTTTCTGTTTCCTTCCTGTAGTCAGCCCCTGCAATGCAAACTGTCCTCTATAACTCAATCTATTTACACCCATTAGAGCAGATCTCTTCCTCCTGCGCTTGCATGCAATCTGCTTCACCAGTTTACTTACAGCTGCTCACAAACCAATCATCACCTCTCTGTTAACAACATTGCACGCACACTGTACAAATCGCAGAGTCACAGCCATTCATTAAGCTTATCATCTCAGCTGCCGTATCCAAAATATCCCTTGAGTACTTCATACAAAATATTTAAACCAATTCTAATGTTTCTCTCTTTTTTTGTGGGACAAACAGGATTGACACTGACACTAATGCTTCCTTGAAACCACCACAATTCTTTTTCTGTTTGCCAACAAACATACTGTATGTGTGAAAGTGAATATATGTGTGAAATACAGTTTTATGATAAAAGGTATTTGTATCCTCTGACTTGTCTGTGCCTCCGGCCACTGCCACTCACCACCTTCCAATCTGTTATCTCCAAAGCAGAATGACATGTGAGACTGGATAAAGGGATTAAGTTCAAAATGATAAAAACCCAAACAGTATTTTTTGGGTGTTTCTCCTCTTTATTTGTCCACACTTGTGATTAATCGTGCAATTTAAATAAAATAGAGACAAACAGAGGCTGTTCTTTAGTCAATGTTATAAGGTTTTGTTTTATAGCTTAGACAATAAGTGCTTTCCAAAATGAACAAAAGTTTAATGATTACTTTTCATTAATTATCCAGTTGGATTAGAAGATAGTGTGTTTCAATACTAGCTATCAATTTCTTTTTACATTTATGTATGCATTCATTTTATTAATTTATTTTTTCTCATGCATGCCAGCAGTAATTTTGGTGAAAACCTCTCCTAATGGTCTGTCTTCCAACAGACAGCTAGAAGCCACCTGCCACCCAGAAGGAGGACAGGACATTTGACAGGACAAAGAAAGAAGAGCACACCTAAATTACTGCATGAGCTTCTATATGAACTGAGTGACAGCAGCATGTTTTCTTTCATCCACCTCCTACTTGCCGTACACTGGCGTGTCTCCTGGGTTTGACTAGTGGGGGGTTAATTGAAGCTGAACGAAAGCTCCCAACTCCAGTCTGAATAAATAAGCTGTGTCACCACGCTAGTTGTGCAGTGAACACTTTTCCTGTGATTGTCTAACTTACGATCGCACTGAACACAAAAACATACACACAGAGCATTTTTTTCTTACCACCATCTTGTTGAGGGAGACCCAGCAGTCAGATGGAAAGTCCTGCAGCATGGGAACAAGAAACTGGAGACAGCCATCCCAGTGGCACAGCAGTAGCATCATACCAATCAGGTTGAATATTCGCACCACGGCACTGGCTAGGTCATAGGTCATGTGGAAGATCTGTCAGGAGCAGGAGAGATGGGACGTGAGGGTTACAGATTTGGAGAGGAGGCCAGAATGAAGCCAGAACTGATGTGTGAGCAGAATGAAAAGTTGGTGTTTATAGCGATTGAGCGAGAGTTGAAAACAATGGTAAACACTACTCTATCGGCTCTCACAAACAGCACATCCAGCATGTTATCATTCTGCTGATAGCACTGGCAACAGTGATGCTGTGGGGACTATATAAAATAGCTTTAACTTGTGCACAATTTGCACAGTTGCAAATCCTGATCCACTCTGTAGGACAATTATTATATTATATTTTTTTAAGAAAATAAATCATACTCTTGCAAATTTAGCAGATTCATTTTGGGCACGTGGTACAGCTTAACAAGCTGTAAAATTTCCAGAAATGAGGAAAACATAGTTTTCATATGTAGTTTTTTTGTTGACGCTGGCAAATTAATATTCACATTTAGCCATGCTAGTTATGTGCTAACCTCAAAGGTTTACCTGAACACAGTAATGTGAGAGCAGTGGGAGTGAATTATTATAGTAAAATATAGCACTTCTGAAGCTGTGATGGAGAAGAGGTGACTGACCAAACTGCTCTCCATCACAGACAATCCTGCCCACTATGAGCAACACTTACTAGGCAGGTAGCAAAGCAACTTCTCTAACAAACTGATTGAGCTCTGCTGCCACAAGGAAGGATATAGGCAATCTTTCATACCACATGCTATCTATCACTCAATATATCTGTCTGGCAGGGAATCGTTCGCCAGATATTTGTATTGTTATTAATATTATTAACATTATATTTATAAATTTTCTGTTGATAAGTTGGTTGACAATTAAACATCTCTGTTATTAAACATCGCTCTCTCTCGCTCTCTCTCTCCCTCCATGGCATGCAGCCCAAAGTCTAGTTAAGCTGCCCATGTTCTTGCAATGGAGAGGTTGCTACAATATCCACAAACTGAAAGGAAGTTTGGAGAAAGTTTTTTGTGAGTTTCACACTCATACAGGAACCTTTCACACCAGAGGTTGTTATTCATCTCTTGCTAATATACAAATATCTATTAGGGCAGCTTTAGGTAACATGACGACCTGTGAGGAAGAACTTTAGGATTTGATATCTCAGTTTATTTATAGGTAACGTGTCTGTTAACAACTAAATTTATTGTTATATAAAATTTGAACAATTTAATGAACTATGATAACAGGTGGTATAATTTTGACCAGTTTTTTAGTAACTTATAAACAGCAAAAAACGTGCTTCGCATTCCCAGGCTGAGGTTCTCCATTATAACCAGGTGTGAGACCACAGGGCATGCAATGTGCATTCATGATAAAACCTCATTAGATGCTGATGAAGCTTTGATCAGCAGCCCAGGCCAGGCTCTCGCTGCTGTTTCTTAAGAAGCTCACCCCAGGTAAGAAGGCTAATTTGCGTGGAGCTGGTGATGTGGTCACAGCCTTGTAAACACCACTCACTATGGCTTGGCTGGCTATCTGCCAGGCCAAATTATCGTGGTTCGTGTGTGTTTTTGTGTGTGTTTGTGTATGGGTAGGTTTACAAGTATGTGGGGATTAGATCTTGAGAAATTCATCTTAAATGTGAACTAGGCCTTTGTGTGTGTTTGTGTGTGTATGTGTGTGTGCGTGTGATGACATGAAGGAGCCGCTTCTGTTTAGAATTTACAGTTTGGGAGCAGCAGGGTCAGGGCATGCTGTCACACATCTCTACACCTCAGAGGCCCTGCTGTCCTAAACATACAAGTCACATGAATATGGAAAACTGACACATGTTATACCCCAGTTGTTAATGTGCATGATCCTAGTTTAAATAGCTCTTGGACTTTTCATATGATTTGTGTTTGGATGGATAATGGCAATTGTATCAAAGTTTATTTAAATTCCTCCTAAATGTAATTTATAAAATGTGCAAAACAATTTCCTCAGAAATATGTAGCATTTCAGCTGTATGCTGCACATCACATTTTCCTTATCCAGTTCTAAAATGTCATCAGCACCTGGTTGTTTCACTCTTTTGATATATATTCATTTTTTCTCTTTACAGTAATTTAGTTTTGATCCCTTCCCCAGGCCTGCTTTGGGTCCATGTGTAATTAAATCAAAATCAACAAAAGAAACTACTTTCTTTGCACATTTTGTGTATATCCTGTATTGGCTAATGGCCTTGGGTCATTTAGAAGACGCAGAAAGGGAAACATGCTGTGAGGCCCTGCCCTGTGATTAGAAAGCGTTCCCATTATGATTAATGAGCTAGGACTAATGTTCCCCCCAACACCAGAACAGCACCTGGCCATGTGTCACTGTCACACCACAATCTGGGTCAAAGCATAGTACTGTGACTACAAGTCACAGCCTGAAAAACACAGATAAACTATTTGCTGCTTCTTTCTGTCAGACTGCTAAAATGCTTTTAGAGTAAAACTAGTGCGTATGACGGATATGAACCTTTTTATCCTTCCATCCCTGACGCTTATGCATTTGCTCTTGTCCATTCCCCATCATTGTCGAGCTCATGAAAAAGGCATCAACGCAAGCTTCCTGCTTCAGCAAATTGTTTTTCTCTGCTTCTGTATCACCAACATAGATGCATAAGCGATTTATTCTGAGATCATTCCACATAAATGGTTTTTTAGCACGACTGTTACCCAGTGCTCACCTCACCTCTGTACTGGCCTTCAATAGATCTATATGGTGAAATCATCACAATACTAAGACAAGCTTTTAGGAAACAGTGCTGCAGCGAGCGGACTTAAGCTGAGCTGAGCTGAGCTGGGCAGAAGAGGCAAACAGTTCCCCCCGTTTGGATCAGGCAGAGCAGAGCAGAGCTCAGCTGAACTAAGAGGATCAGGGCAGGGCCAAGTTGAAGCAAAGGAGCACTCGCGTGTGTGTGTTTCTGTGTGTGTGTGTGTACGCGTCTGTGTTTGAATGAGTAATTAGGGTTTTCGTCAAACCCAAATTACCACTGTGTAATCAGAAGAGCAGTGGTTATTTTCAGAGTGAGGGGACACTCATTTGATTGGAAGATGCTTGTTTAGGCCAAATAAGGAAGCACAAAGAAGCACACACACAGTCCAAGCTGTGGAATGCTGTGTTTATGTAAAATGGGGCCATATGATGGATGATAATGCACTTTTCTCTAGAACATTATTTCCTGATGCAATTAGAGATGCAAGGGGGTTTGCATTAGCAAGTCTTTCAGCATGTGGTTGCAGCTGTTTGATGCCTTAATTGGTTGAAATGCTGCAACAAAACATTTTTTACTATGTGGAAAGTTTTTTTCTTTCATACAGTTTTAAATGCATCAACAATGTGATGATCAAGTAAGATGACCTATAATCCACTCATCTTGGCTTGCTGCAGTAGAAAACTCTACACCTAATTTTTTGTGCCTTCTCCTGTGATACTAGAATGACTTATACTGACAGAACAAGCCACTGCACTGGAAACTGCTGCACAATTCTTAATTAGAGCCCAGTTAGATTAGTTTCTCATTATTAATGAGCACATTTGAAAGTGGAGGGGTAATAGTAAGCAGATCATCTGATCATAATTGACTAACTTCTGCATTACAGCAATAATCAATGCAGCTGTAGTGTCTGTCAGGTGTAGCAAACGTGATGCTAATGAGTTTTTTTTAGACATTAAAGCTATGCAGTAGTAGTAGTTCATTAAAAAACATACATAATTGTATGAAGAAGTTAAAAACTTAATATTTTCTTTTGATGCTTTTGGGAAAAAAGTCTTCCTCTGTAAGATTTCAGTAACAAAAAAAGACCTTATACCACAGGGGATGCATATGATGAGAAAATGATATGAAAAACAGACTGACCTACATTATGTTTGGACCAGTAGAAACCCAAGATGTGACACATCACATGCATCAAGTATTTAGTATTGATTAAGGGTTTATTTGAACAGTTTAAAAAGTAGGTAGGACCAAATGGTAGTCAGCATATGCTTGATCTATTTCAGGATCATGAGATAGTCCTTGTAAAAGTGGATTCCCTGTGAGCGACCCCTAGCCTTACAAAGTTTGAGAACCACGGAGTAAAAATCTAAAATAGAGATGTTCAGTGTGGAAGTTATGTGTTTCCTTTCAGTATTATCTGTTTATATAAAAGTGTTACATAAACTGTGCATTAGAACCCCATCTGGTCCCATATACTTACTTTATCCAGTATTTATCCAAGCTAAACTTCAATACTGAACAAAACTTTCCTGTTCGTATAGAAATGCTGTAACTCAGCATACCTCCTCCCACTGATGGATGTAACGGATGAGTCTAGACAGCCTCAGCAGACGCAGCAGACTGAGGATCTTCGTGAAGCGGACAATGCGGAGTGCCCGGGCAGTTTTGTACACCTCTGAGTCAATCCCCTTCTCCACGATGAGGAAGATATAATCCACAGGTATGGAGGAGACGAAGTCCACCACAAACCAGCTCTTCAGGTACTTCTTCTTGATCTTCTTGGGGTCGAGGATGATCTCGGTGTTGTCCTCGAACACGATACCAGTCCTAAAGTTGAGTACTAGGTCCATGAGGAAGAAGGTGTCAGAGACCACATTGAAGATGATCCAGGGTGTGGTGGTCTCATCTTTAAAGAAGGTGATGCCTACAGGGATGATGATCAGGTTGCCAACCATGAACATTAACATGGTGAAGTCCCAGTAGAACCTGTCAGGACGAAAGAGTAGAAGATGATTAAAGGTGCTTGTTTAATCCCAACACACGCAAACAAAGGGCAGTATAGGGCCATGTGTACAACTCTGAAATCTGATAGAGAAAAAGATGTAATAATAAAGTAATAAAGGAGAAAAATCTGATGCTATGCATATGAGAAGAGAAACCATGTCTAAAATCTGATGTCCAGACATTGACAGTGTTGCTACATGTTATGGATATCACATATCAGGAAAGAAGCTGATTCTGCTTGATTTATGATACGGGGTAAGCATATTTCCGGCCCTCTCTGTGTCATGAAGCAATGCACTCTCACAGGCTGAACACACTCAGAAAACTAACCCAATCCAAACTGATAAATCTTTCAAATTTTATGAAATGCCTGATAGTTCCTTCACTTTACCCCATTAACCACAACCATGCAAAGAAAAGACAACTAAAGCAAAAACAGCAGAATACCCTCCAAACAAGTCAAGTACAAACAACAACCAGAGCCCAAATCAATAAAGCAGCCTTCACGGCTGTGGTGTTGTGCACCATCACCTATTTCCAGTAGTTAGTTAATGTGACATTTATTGGTTTGAACAAACATTCACACAATAGCCAGTCACGCCACAGCATTAGGTGCTGAATTATGAGAACCTGTGTTTTAAAGATAATTCAGCTGGTGAACTGACCATGCGAGGCATCTATGAATATTCCTCTGTTTATTAAAGTAAGAAAATTGTGTAAGTATTTTTATATAACTTTACTCAACTTACCTATTATTAACTGGCAGATTAATTATGAACGATGTTTGTTAGTGTTGCAGGATAAGAGGAAGACACTGTGGCTACTTATATTAGAGGAACTAATGGAAGCGGCTGCTGAGTCATGACTTGAACTCTTGTTATGCGCATCCTGCTGTTGAGCTTTGTCCGTAAGTTAACACAATCAAGCCATGTATTGTTAATAAACAGCAGGCTTTACATATTTGATGGTACTCAAATAAGAAAGACAAGAAACCTGGTTTCCCCACATTTTATTAGAGGAGCTGTCCTCGGTGCTGAAACCAAGCACACTTTAAGACACATTTAGAGTCAACTTTGTGACACCTCTGGAATATGGAGCTTTTGTGTAAACACAAAATCTCCCATATGTCATCATTCGGTGCTTCAGGAATAGAGAAATAGCTCTGTTTATGATAGGGTAAGGTTCAACTTTTTCCCCCAGATAACCATTGAATGTTTAAAAATAGCATACTTATGTTCATATTCCCACAATCTTCGCATATAATGTTGTTTGACGTAAAGAATGGGCGCTGGGCAACATTCAAAAACACCCCTTTAGCTTCTTTACAGCAACACTTTCACTGACCTAACACAATTTGACCCATACCTGAAGTCGCTGTATGGGTGGATAATCCAATTACCCGCTGACTTTACGCGTTCTTGTTCTTTCTCCACTGCCTTCTGGCTGCCAAACATGCGCAGGGAGAATTTATTAACTCCAGGCTGAAGCATGGCACTAAACTGCCGCTGCATGTATGTCTGATTCCCCTTGGACTCTCCATCATCCGGCACTATCTGAGAGCCGTCCTCTGCTTTGCTGAACGTGACAGAACTTCTTGGCTGCTGAGCCAGTCCTTTACTACTCGGGGGGTTGGAGAAGGAAACTCTGGAGTCCTTTTTCTCCGTTGCTGCCGTCGTCTTGACCTCGGCCCCAGGCCCCTGTGTCAGGGACCCTGCTGAAGTGACAGAGCCGTCCATGCTCGCAGCCAGCTCCTTATCGTCTTCAGCTGCTACTACTCCATCTGCCTGCTTCTCCTGTCTTGAGATGAGAGAAGAAAGACTGCCTGAACTGGCCGGGTCTCTTCTACAGTCTCCGTTTTTATTGCATATCATACCGATGCCCCCCTCTCCTATCACGCCCGCCTCAGACACTGTGTCCCCTGCACTCCTGTGGTCTGACTCTGTGCCGCCAGCAGCATCCCTCTGGCACAACAGAGCAAATGCACAGCTGCCGCTGGGAGTAAAAGGTGTGGAGTCCTCGCCTCGCAAGAGGAAGAGCTCATTGTTGTTGGAGTTTTTTCGCACAGGAGAGACGGCTCCGCCTCCTGGCGAGAATTTCTTCATATTGGTCCCCCTGCTACTCCCATGATCCTCGCATCCAGCCGAGCTGGCTATTTGAAAGGGTCGAGCCTTCTGGAATTTGGGCTCCTCCTCGCTGTCCTCCGCCTCGTCCATTACAGGCAAACAGACACTTCCGTACCTTAAACCGGGCGAGACTGGGCGGCGGCAGAGGAAGGAGTGTGGACTTCAAAGCCTCCGTCTGCTTTCCATTCACATCACTTAACGGCGTACCGGTGGCGTTGCTATGGCTGCAACCTGGCTGTTGTTATTGTGTTTGTGTGTGGTAGAGAGAGGGAGAGAGATAACAGCTTTACCCTGGGGCTTCAACCACCTACAGGTAGCTTTCAGCCTACTGAAGAAAATGTGCGCACAGAAGAAAACAGTTTTGTCAGACCTGGACACAAAAAGTCAGTGAATGCGATTTTAAAAGTGAATTCTTACTAACGAATTAAATAACGCACAAATACATTTTTAGAATAACTCAAACTTGTGTGAATGGAAAACTATGATGATTTAAAAAAAAAAAAAAACTTTTAATATGCAGTGATGGCCTGAGCAGTTTTACATCAAAAGGAATCATCAGCGAGTATCCCATGCTGCCATGCTCAGTTGACCCAGTATCAGCTCAATTCTATCTAGACTTTCTCGGAGTCTGGCAGCAGCGTCTGCCTGTTGCTTTGGTTTCTGGCAGCCTTCCCAAGTTGTGGGGTTTTTAATGGTGAAATGACTCCACCTTGTGGATAAAGGCACAATCTAGGGCCAAGGCACCCACGAACAGTGTGAAGATTTAGAAAAACCCCCCATCATATTTGCTACTAGCTTATCTTTTTTGTACTAAATCCTAGTGTCCCAATTAAGAGACCGCACGCTCGAAGTACGCATTTTGAGACCTATTACATCACAGCGACGCGACAGCGGCTGTCCCAATCCGAAGTGTACTCCAAATGCGCCGTCGATTTCCCCAAATATCAAGCGTGGTCCGGTGCACGCTTCGTGGTCCCATATATCCCTCAACTCATAGCGCGGCGGTGGGTGTGGATAATTTTACCGCAAAATACGGCAGAAGGGAGCGGCCGAAGAGTGAACTGTCAAAAGTAAGTACTCAATATCATGTCACTTATTTATGTGCGAATGTTTAATAGTGAAAAACATTACTGTTGGCCACATGTCGGCAAAGTTATGTGACATTAGTGATGTTTGTACTTTCAGCGTTAACTTGGTTTTAAAGCCTTTACTTTGAAATATACGCCGTTCAATAGTCGGCCTTAATCTTACAGAGAATGTGATGATTCTATGGATAATTAAAGTCAGTCATATATCCACAAACACAACAAGCTGAAAGTCAGTGATGCTGCTCGGTTTGCAGTCCTGAATATCACAGCACAAGCAGGATTCACTGCACTGTTAATGTTAGCTATGTTATATTGCTGCCTCTGTTCACCGCGGTAAAGTGAGCCGTCATTTGTGAGCCGCGGTCAAGCCAGCCGCCTCCTATCCGCCGCATAAATTTCCTTGCGCTTTTACACCAGTCTTTACGGTAGCGCCTTTTCGCTTTATATCCTGATTGAAAGCCTAGACTCGCACGCGCGTGAACAAATTACGATGGAACAGCCCAATACAGCCATCGTGACAGTCTGGTTGCATATTCAAAAATTCATTAAAAATCATTCTTAAAAGTTGATGCCAAGCTTTCAACACAATCCTCTTCTCGGACACCTACTTTACCTCTGGGGCAGGTTTTACCCAGATTTACTGTAATATTACTCAGAAATCACAGTAAACTCATATTCAGTGCAATACAGTCAAAACACTACAATTATGTTTATTTCAAAAATTCATTAAAAGTCATCCTGAGTAGTTGATGTCCAACTTTCAACACATCCCTCCTCTGGGACACCTACTGTACCTGTGTGCCAAGTTTCATCCAGATTTACTGTAGAATTCCTCAGAAATTAAAGGAAACTTATATTCAATTCAATACAGTCAATACAATAGAATTATGTCAATTTTCAAAAATTCATTAAAAATCATCCATAATAGTTGAGGTCCAACTTTCAACACTTTCTTACTCTGGGCGTACTACCGTACCTCTGGGCCAAGTTACATCTCAATTCACTGTAATCTTTATCAAAAATTGAAAGAACAATTATATGTCAATGCTGGATGTGTGTCCTTTCAAAGTGACACTAAATAACAGAACTCAGGCACATCAGGGAATAATCCAAAAGGCGGATTTATTAAACAAAAACAACATACAAAATATCTCTAACCCATACTACATAACCTAAAAAGAAACAAAGGGACACTTAGAAGCACAAGAAAACAATACTGAAAGGGCAAGAGACACAGTCCAAAAACATAATCCACAACTAAAGTGCCAAAAGAACAAGTCATCCCACATAGCAGACGGGTCTTGCCTGGATCTGGTGTCAAGCCGGCACTGCTGGCTGACTTCTGGCATGGTAAGATGGCACTGTTTATGTGATGGCATGCCACATTTGGCCTGATTGGGTGAATGTGACATGTTGTATAGAGCACTTTGAGTAATATGGGTGAGTAAAAAAGCGCTGTATAAGAATCAGTCCATTCACTGTCTGAACAGAGTTTCGTCATGTTACTTTTGCACTATTATGTTCCAGCACATGTTGTTATTACATGGCTTACATGGCTAAGGTACACATTAGGCTGACATCTGGGGCCAGAGCTGAAACTGTTCTGGGCCAGCACAGGGCCAGCAGTGTGTCTGCAACTGGCCTTGTGCTGGCTCATGTGTGGGCCACCTCTGGTAAACCAGATCTGGGCCACCATAGGGCCGTCATTCTTTGCGGTACGCAGGCCATGTGTAAGCACATTGTGTAGGACAGATCCAGGCCATACCAATTTTGCTATGTGGGAGGAATTATGTAAAAATAGAAACATCATAAAAATGAAAATGAACATAAAGTAAAATGTACTGAAAAGAACATCAGTATGGCCATCATTATTTGCTTGGAAAGTCTAAAGTTCCATGGCTTTGAACAGCCAGAGAACACAATGCCCAGCTTAGAATGACTAAAAGTAACTTCTTTTAACATTCTGTCGTTCTGCTTCTATATCAAAAATCCACTAAAAATAGTCACTTGAAAAAAAATATTCGCCACTTTTCATCAGTTTGGGTTCCTCTGTTTATAGCAATTTTTAGAAAAGAATCGAATACCTTTGTCACTATACAGTTGTACAGTGAGATACAGAGCATCTCCTACTCATTGCAAACATGCTGGGAGGGTGGCTCTATCCACCTTAGTGCAGCTGCTGTACCATACTGTGATGCAGTAAGTTAGTAGGCTCTCAATGGGCGAGTGGTGGAAGGGTGAGCTGTAGTCCACAAAGAGCATTCTGGCGTAGCTCTGCCGCTGTTCTAGGTGACTCAGCACCGAGTGGAGGGTGATGGCATCTTCTGTGAATCTGTTTGCACGGTATGCAAACTGGTGGGGGTCGAATTCTGGGGGGAGGTAATCCTTGGTGTGCTGAAGGACTAGTCTCTCAAAGCATTTCATGATTACCGGTGTGAGGGCCACAGGGCAATAATAGTTCAGGCTGGTGATGGGAGACTTCGTTGGTACTGGGATGATTGTGGCTGATTTTAGACAGGATGGGATGGCTGCTTCATCCAGTGAGAGGTTGAAGCTTCTGGTGGAGATGAGGGTGAGCTGGTGGGCACATGGTCTTAGCACTTTACCACGTATTCCGTCTGGACCGGCCACCTTCCTGGGATTCACTGCTAGGAACACACATCTGACATCGTGCTCCGTTACAGTGAATGGAGCGGTGCAGGAACCAGGTGAGGATGAGGATGGGAGCAGGGCTGAGGCAGATGAATGCTGCTGTTGTGGTGTTTCAAAGCGGGCGAAGAAGCTGTTTATTTCCTCTGCTAGCTGCACACTCAGGTTTTCTGTTTTCACAGTTCTGCCTCTGTGGTTTATGATGTCTGTTATTCCATGCCATGTGTTGTTGCTGGACAGGTGGGACCCCTTTTCAGGTCAGCTCGAGCAGACCTGTACAGAGCTCTGTCAACAGACCTACAGGGAGTGCAGAATTATTAGGCAAGTTGTATTTTTGAGGAATAATTTTATTATTGAACAACAACCATGTTCTCAATGAACCCAAAAAACTCATTAATATCAAAGCTGAATGTTTTTGGAAGTAGTTTTTAGTTTGTTTTTAGTTTTAGCTATTTTAGGGGGATATCTGTGTGTGCAGGTGACTATTACTGTGCATAATTATTAGGCAACTTAACAAAAAACAAATATATACCCATTTCAATTATTTATTTTTACCAGTGAAACCAATATAACATCTCCACATTCACAAATATACATCTCTGACATTCAAAAACAAAACAACAACAAATCAGCAACCAATATAGCCACCTTTCTTTGCAAGGACACTCAAAAGCCTGCCATCCATGGATTCTGTCAGTGTTTTGATCTGTTCACCATCAACATTGCGTGCAACAGCAACCACAGCCTCCCAGACACTGTTCAGAGAGGTGTACTGTTTTCCCTCCTTGTAAATCTCACATTTGATGATGGACCACAAGTTCTCAATGGGGTTCAGATCAGGTGAACAAGGAGGCCATGTCATTAGTTTTTCTTCTTTTATACCCTTTCTTGCCAGCCACGCTGTGGAGTACTTGGACGCGTGTGATGGAGCATTGTCCTGCATGAAAATCATGTTTTTCTTGAAGGATGCAGACTTCTTCCTGTACCACTGCTTGAAGAAGGTGTCTTCCAGGAAGTGGCAGTAGGACTGGGAGTTGAGCTTGACTCCATCCTCAACCCGAAAAGGCCCCACAAGCTCATCTTTGATGATACCAGCCCAAACCAGTACTCCACCTCCACCTTGCTGGCGTCTGAGTCGGACTGGAGCTCTCTGCCCTTTACCAATCCAGCCACGGGCCCATCCATCTGGCCCATCAAGACTCACTCTCATTTCATCAGTCCATAAAACCTTAGAAAAACCAGTCTAGAGATATTTCGTGGCCCAGTCTTGACGTTTCAGCTTGTGTGTCTTGTTCAGTGGTGGTCGTCTTTCAGCCTTTCTTGAACTGAACATAAGTTCCCTGCAATTTCTGAAGAATATTACAGTAAATCTGGCTGAAACTTGGCCCAGACGTACAGCAGGTTTCCCGGAGGAGGGATGTGTTGAAAGTTGGACATCAACTACTCAGGATGATTTTTAATGAATTTTTGAAAATTGACATAATTCTATTGTACTGACTGTATTAGATTGAATAAATGTTTCCATTAATTTCTGAGGAATTCTACAGTACATCTGGATGAAACTTGGCACACAGGTACAGTAGGTGTCCCAGAGAAGGAATCTGTTGAAAGTTGGACCTCAACTACTCAGGATGATTTTTAATGAATTTTTGAAAATTGACATAATTCTATTGTACTGACTGTATTAGATTGAATAAATGTTTCCATTAATTTCTGAGGAATTCTACAGTACATCTGGATGAAACTTGGCACACAGGTACAGTAGGTGTCCCAGAGGAGGGATGTGTTGAAAGTTGGACATCAACTACTCAGGATGATTTTTAATGAATTTCTGACATTTCCATAATTGTATTGACTGTATCGGGCTGTTTCATTGTAATTTGTGTGCGCGCGCGCGCACGTGTGCGCGGGTATAGGCTTTCAATCGGCACATAAAGCGAAAAGGCGCTACCGTAAAGACTGGTGTAAAAGCGCAAGGAAATTTATGCGGCGGATAAGAGGCGGCTGGCTTGACCGCGGCTCACAAATGACGGCTCACTTTACTGCGGTCTCTGTTCGGTGGTGTCGAGCCAAACGGACTTTAACGTGTGTTTGAACGAGCTGACGGTTCACTCGTTAAGCTGAAAGAAAGAAAGATGCTTTAATCACAGGAGTCACACATGTGTCCACTGTACAATCTGGGAACTCTTGTTTAGCACTCGTAATAACACAGACACTAAATCCTCCTTCTCTTGTGCTATTTTGTAGCAGTGTATACACCCGAGACTGTCACCTGTCTGTCTGTCCTGCACTCTCTCCGTTTCTTTCTCTCTGATTGTGGAATAAAAGTATGAACATGTATTTATAAGTTAAACTTATGTTTGAATCCTGCAGCTTATCACACATTTGATTTCCAAGTGCAAGTGTCCAGAGTGAGGACCGACTGCTTTGCACGCCTGATGATCCACCAGGACAAACTCAGCAGTGTGTGAGGAAGAGGAGGAGGAAGAGCCAGCAGTAGCTGACAGATGGAGAGAATAGACAGACTGTTCCCTGTTTGTGAAGGACTGCTAGGAAAGTTTAAAATAACTCATTGTCTGTCCTGAATCAGTCTTATTAGGTAATGTTCAAATAATTTTATCATTCCAGTGTTTTCTGTTACACACTATGAAAGGCAGCAACATGTTTAATATTCAGAAACCTAAAGTATGTATCACCAGCAGAATGGACCTCAAAATAAATGTTTGTTTCAGTTCTATGAAGCTTTGAGTATTTTGGATTAGTAGAACTGCTGTGTTTGTTGCATCATATTGCTGTAATTGTTTATACATTCTGAGGTAAGTTGATCTATAGTGTTACATCATATTCTATAAGGATGTTATGTGTTTGTATACTTTCTGCTCAGTTTTGCCATTTAGCAGAAGTCAGCCTGTTTAAGGCTCTGATATCTATTCTGTGTGACTTAAAGCAGTTATGACAAGGTCTGATTTTCTCACCCAATAAAGGAATATTTCATATCAGTCTACTCTTCATTTTATCAGAAACAGTTTTCACAGCTCATACATTTTCTTTTTACACATATGTAAGCATTAAGCCAAATGTAATGTAATGCCAACATATTAAATGAACATTTTTTGTGTATAATGCATCTATATATACACACTGTCAAAGATACTTGTCTTTGAGTGAAGATTTAAGGTGATAGGCAATATAAATAACTGCAACTTGAATCTTTGACCCAGAGTTCAAGCTCACTGCTATCTATCCATCCACACACATCTAGATATATCTATAATAATCTGACAGTAAATATAATATTGGCTCAACTATTCAAAGTGATGTCATGACAAAAATGATTGACCAAAAAAAAAAAAAAAAAAAAAAAAAAACCCCAAACATTTTTTCTCCTTCATTTATGTCACACAAAGCTGTATGAAACGTTTCTCGCGGTTAGTATCATGGTTCCTAGGCAACCTGAGTAACGCGACGAAGGCTAGACCGTCCCATTTCACAAGCCTCTCACTTCCGCACTTCTCGTACGTAGTATGCGTACTTTAAGCGTGCGGTCTCTTAATTGGCACACAGCCCATGACAAATGATTAAACACAGACACTCATGACAATTGTGTGTGTGTCTGTCTATGCACTACTGTTTTGTTACAAATGCAGCAGGTAGGAGACCCAGTGTGTTTGACTACCCTTAAAAAAAATGGAAAAGAAAAAAAAGCTGGGAACAGGAATTTGAGGTCAACCATGTGGACAATCTACTTCATGTATCTGCCATATCTGAGTTCCCCTTTTTGTAAGCTTCAATTTGTTGGTAATTTAAGCACATTCAAACTGACTTTGTACATTTCTGCAAAGTAATAGCATGTTGTTCAGGTTATAACCTGACTTTAAAGTCAGTGTTGAAGGGAATAAGTAAAGCTGAACTAGGGGTCAGTCAATTTTCATTCAACCTAAGTTCTTAAGAAAATACCTTCATTTTATTTTATAACAACAGGAAAACTCAAATCATGATTGAAAAAAAAAAAAATCAAGTAACCTCCACACCCAACAGTGAAATGCTGCCCCCTGGTGGGGACAGCTTGGAATTCTGTGAAGAGTAAATGCCTTAAGAACAGGTACTTTGTTTCAGTGAGTGAGCTGGTTTAGAAAGAAACTGATTATTTTTGTTATAATGGGAAGTTGCTGCCAAAATTGATTATAAAAGTTGACATTTAAATATCAAAATTTGTTTCTTTGTTTTTTGTTCAATGAACCTTACCGTCCAAAATAATCTCAATGTATTTTAGTGTAACCAATTAAGCTATAATGCTGTTAATTTCATTTACAAACCCCAAAGAATAAAACTTGGATACGACAATAATAAAATACTTAAATACGTTTCCATTAAATTGCAAGACCAAGTATTTTCACTTTAGGATTGCTTTCTATTGTAGCTTACCATTTCTAAACCACTTGAGTAGCTGTAGTTGAGTAACAAGACCAGACAAATTTTAATACCTTTAATTTATATTGTGCAAGTTGTACAGAGATGTTGTTGTTCCATGTAGAAGGAAAGTACAACAATTGACACAATTCTGGTTGACTAGGTCTCTCAAACTGTGCAATTCCGAAATGGTAATATCCAATCACAACACTACTCTTGGTTAAATGGAATATATGGCTTCTGAGTCATCTATACAATGAAGGGGAAGAGACAAGGATCCAACAGTCGCACACAACCAGTTCTGATCACACTGAGCGAATAAAACTAAAACCAATATTTGTCAGCAATTTGCCTGTATAAGTGTGTAGCATTAAAAGTTGCATTTGACAAAAGCAACATCTCTTGCACTTGGTCCTTAAACTTCAACCGTGTATGTGAAGTCGGCAACAAAAGCATCGATGAGAAACGCAATCTAAAATATTTAAATAGGGAAAAGCTTTAAAAAAAAAAAAAAAAAAAAAAAAAAATCCTATTCAAAACACTAGTTTCTTGTGGTAATAAAGGTAGCACACATTGAATCTTAGCTATTATTTCTGCAGCAACACATTAAAATTTAGTGGTAGGTAACAAAATGCAAAAAAGACAAGAAATGGTGGCTGTTAAGGCAAAGTGTAAAACTCTGCTAAGGGAGGTTTGTGGTGAAGGGACAGAACATGTGAATTCAAATGCCCTTCATTATTTTCTATTCAGAGTGGCAGTGATTCATTAGGATCAAAACAACTGCTCAGATCCTTTAATTGCATCTTGGTTCGATTTATAGATCACCATTTCAGATCGGAGAATATAAAACCAATGACTGATGACTGAGGTCAGTGCAGGAAGCATCAGCATTAACAGAAAATAACCACAAACTACGCATTCCTCATGTGAACACTAATGATTTTTGCAACAACACACGTGGCTAAAACAGCATTTAAAAACTCATGCAATATTTGCCCCATAGTCTCAAGCAGAAATTTCACACTATGTTCTCTGGCTGCACAATATGGAGAGGGATATAGAAGAAACCAAACCAAGAGGAAATCATATTCTTTTAAACATTAAACACCCAAGCACAAAAAGGTACTTAAAATTGCAAGGTGCACAGTATATTGTGCCACACAGCAGCTGAATCCTGGAGTGTCGTCTGGACATCCATCTATGCAAGGGGGGGGGAAGAAACTTTTATTTTTTGAAAAAAATAAATATATATATCCCATTCCTTACAAATAAATTTGCAGACACAGACTAGCCCACAAAATGCATTATTAATTTTAACAATTATATTAACTCACCTCTTTCAGCTTTTAGTTAGAGTTCCTTTGCCTCACATTCTTGTCTTTGTGGTTTGCATTCGAATTGCTCTTCCTGAAACACATTGAACAAAATGAGCTCCAACAGCAGCGTTTGTGTCAATTTTATTGCTATAGCACATTTAAAAGCAACAAAGTTGACCAAAGTGTTTCACAAGGTAATTAGCAAAGATTTCACTTACAGAGGAGCAGATCCTGAGTCATCATCTGGACAGCAAAACAGGATCAATGACAAATGGAAAAAAAACAAAAACAAAGTTAAAATGTTTTCTCTGATTGGTGTGAGAAACCCACGCCATCCCCAGCCCACAATGATAGTAGCAAACGTTTTAATCGGTAACATGACTGCAATGGTGTTATGATTAAATCCAACTAAACACAAATAGAAGCATGCCCAACTGTTGCATTTCTGACATTTACATAAAACCCATTTAACAATTACAATCATTTGTTCTTAGTCATATCATATAATGTGGCTTTTGGCATGTCGTGTAATAATGTTTAACGTGAACATTTTTTTTTTTTGCACTGGCTTGATTCCCCCCTTTGTATCACAGAGGCTCATGCAATTCAAGCAAAGGAAGACCAAAGGAAGACTACAGTGCACTGCTGTGGTAACAACAGTAAACACCTTTAAAGTGGCAGAGCTAACACACATCCTTGTATGTCCTCTGGCCATATTCACACCCGAACAGCATGTATTCACAGTATGGCAAAAAGTAGGCTACCTCTGCAGCCAAATGATGAATGACACAAATGGTATATGATATACTGATCTTGAGAAGGTTGCCTATTATGTATCATGCATATAGTACAAGATGCACAAAGCATGCAAACAAATAGTTGAGACCTCTTTTCAACCTACCCAAATTCATGTCAAACCATTAGAGCAGTTTAAGTGTCTCATTTGACTCTTTCATTGGCTCAAACACACGTGTTTAAAAACCAAAACAAAGTGAAAGAAATATTTGAAGCTTGCGCTGTAAGATTAAGGGCCAGTGAAAGAGTGAACAAGTCTTTGAGCGCATTCCTCTTAGAAGTGGTTACTATGAAAGCAGTTCATTCAGACTCCCACTGCCTTTTCCACGCGGTCATCTCAGTTCAACCACTTCAGTCTGACATGCAGTTTTGTTCACTTACCAAAATGCAAAATCAGCAGCGAACAGAGAAGTAAAAATGTAAATAATAAAAAAATAAAATAAAATTTCTAACACAGATTCTTTACACAGTGGTGGCAGCTATTTCCTGATCTTTATTTTCAAAATGAAAAATAATAGTTAAAAATAAATTAATTAATTAATTAAAAAAAAAAAAAAATTCAACTACATCCTGCATCTCTCCATAAAAACCAACACGTTGCTTTCATAGTCTCAAAGGGCATTCAATTTTCTGATCTCATTGCTTAGTACACTAGGTCTACAGTTTGAAGTGTTCTGGTTTTAATTGTAGTTAAATGACTTATGAAAAAGAACAAGTCTTTCCCGCAAAAAGAGGAGCTGCAGGTTGACAAACAGCCGGTAGCTGGTATTACACAAAAACCATGGAATAATAAAATGGTATGTAGTTTTTTCTACTAAGAATTCCTAATAATATCAAAATGGCCCAAAAGGTTTTGGAAGTCACCAACTATTGCAGCCAACCGGCAAAGATACTTGTGAGGAGTCACTACATAATGACTTCAGCTTATGCTGATATTTGCAAGGGAACTGTTGAAATCCCAGCATTTTCTTCATTGCTAAAAATCAAAGATGAAGGCAGTGTTGCATCATTGTGCTAATTGCAATTTCAATATGAAATAAATAAGGATGTAATGAGTGGTGTAGGGGACATAGCATACATACCGTCATTGACCTCATCAGGCTTTCTCCTCTTCTCATAGATAAAGATTATCGTGACAAGGATGATGACCTCTGCCACGATGCCAAGAAAGGGCCAGAGAGCAGCCAAGCGACTGCGGACACGCAGGTTGATTTTGTCAGTAGCTACGCCGAGTTCGTTACTTCCAGAGCAAATGTAATGCCCGAGGTCACTGTCGATGTTCAGGTTGTTAATGGTCAGACTGGTCTTGTTGGGGGTATTCTTGATCTCATATTTCTCAGTTCCATTGGTGATACTCTGAGGGTTAGTGAATAACAAAGTGGTTAAAACCCAAAACATAGTTTGCCAGTGAATGACAAACTAAGCCAGAATTATGCACAGTTTAGTGAACTGGAATAAGACCATATCTACAGTGAAACATTAAGACTGCTGATGATAATGAGGTTTTTTTTTTTTTAATATAATCGTAATGCTCAGGTATGCACTGTGAGAGCTTGTAGAAATTTCAACTTGAGACAATATTAACTAAAGTGTTAGTGAACATTAATATCATTCTGAGTGTGACAGAAACTCACAACTTGGGTTTCCTCGTCGTTCTGCTTGAACCAGAGCCAATCAGTAGGTAGTGGATATCCATGACTCACACAGACCAGCACAACTTTGTCATTTTCATTGCCGTGCTCAGAGTGCTTGTAGGCAGCGACATGGGGAAGTGCTACAGCAAGAAATGGTACATTAATTCAAACTACAATATGACAGTAAACAGTAGATTAAATAACCCCATTTCACATAATTATTATAGGATACCTAAAAACAGAAAGCAATACATCATTTAAAATGCTCTCAGACATATTTAAGTTCTTCAAATAATTCTGTTATGTGGAAACTGATTTTTTCCCCTCACATGCAAGTAACATCCACCCAGTTTGTAGCTCCAACAATATAGATTTTTTTTTTTTATAAAAACAATTGAAATAATTGTGTTAATTATGGTGAATATTAGCAAAGCACAATCATCAACAAACATCATCGAAATAGTCAGAAATAACAGGAAACGTGTATTCCCTCCCCAACCTGCAAAGCTCCTCTAGAAGTCAGGGAGGAGAAAAAACAAAACAAAAAAACCCACCACTACACAGTTAATGTCAATTTCACATTTTCAAGCATTCAGTATGACAGCATGGATTCATGATAAAGACCCTTTGACCATTCACCAGAGCACAACATAACGTAACACCACATGACTCCTGTAACCTAAACCAATAGTTCAAGATATTGCAATGTAGTACAAGTCTATATTTTTAATCTGCAGGGTATTATTTAAAAACTATTTGAAATTGAACAAAAAAATGTTAACTTATCTCTGAAAACATCTTTGATATGCAACTCTCTACTTACTTCTGACTTCAATGGTCTGCTTCACTTCTGGATCAGTCAAGAACACGCATTCATACTTTCCACTATTGGCATGAGTGATCTTCTCCAATCTATGGGAAGAAAAAGAATCATTTATTTGAGAATAGTTTAACAAGCTTTGTTTTTTCTTTAAGACATTAGTAGCCAACAAGTGACTTAGGACCACTGCTGAAACCCCTTTAATGATGGCGATTAGTTTTCCACTCTGCCAAGTAGAAAATTCACAATAGATCTCCATTTATGCTCAAGAGCGTGGTAAAACTAAAGCTGCTTATCCACCCAGCAAATATTTCATATTTTCCCCCTTTATTACAATCGACCTTTTGTTTGGTGCTACTATCCTGTACAATCCTGCATTCTATCTCCAATGGGGAATTAAGGTCAAGCAAAGTGAGCACACAGCTTTCACGGCTGCCAAGACTACCAGTAAAGCTGCACGTCTATGCAGTCCATCTCTCTGCTAATCAAGAGCAGTGAAATGCCTGTATGGTGCCCCTAGCTCTGCTGCTAAAGCCAAAGAGAAAGTAGTGAGAGGGGGAGATCGTAGACAAAGACGAGAAAATGAAGGATAGCAAAAGGCATGTATACCAAACATAGCACTTTAAGGCACAGTAATGGTAAATATTTACAAGCCAATTATACTTAGCCAATCATTTTAGTCACTCAGTGTTTCTAATTAGTTAAATATGTCTGGCCCACAAAAGGCTTCTGTTGGAAAAGGTCTCTCGCTTTACCAGCATATGGTAAACAGCATAATATTCTGCAAGACCAGCAGGACAGACCTGCCTACATGGCACATGGATGCTTTTTTTTTGCTTACTTGTGGGTAGTGTGATGTGTGTTGCCATCCTTTTTGGAGCTTTCAATGATTTTGCCATTAAAAGTCCAGTGGGAGCCCTTACTGGACATGCCGGCATCTGTGAGGTTGCAGCTGAGCACAGCAGAGGTTTGGTTGGTGACTTCAGAAGGTTCAGTGTGGATGTTTGGTGCTTAAATTGAGTAAAGAAAAGAAAAAAAAAAATTGAACATAACACATTATTTATAAATATACCAAGTAACAAACAGCATTGGCTTCAAATGCATCATTGCCACTGATTGCTTATAAGATACAGTTACAATTTACATTTAGATCTTGACACTCAACAGCTGTCTTTAAAAGAAAAAAAAAAAATTCTATTTGACACGATGACATCACAGGGTGGGAAAAATGATAGAAAACCTCTTCAAAAGAAAGAAAAAAATTATACACATCCTGTGAAAAATTCCCTGTGGTTCTGTTGGATTATTCTAACGAGTCAAATAACTCCACATCTCAATTTAGAGGCTACAACATAAAAATGTTGTAGAAATTCCATGTATATGACAATCCTATGCGCTCATTCACCAATGAGCAAGGAGTGGAAAAAAAAAAAAAAAAAAAAAAAAAAAAAAAAAAAGAATATATAAATAAAAAAAAATTAAAAAAAACTTTAAAATTAAATGTAGAGGCAAACTATCCAACTTGCCTACTAGCCTCAATGTTGTCAGGTACACATTTATGTGTCAGCTTTGCTAAGACAATTGTTGAGTGTTGATTGGTCAAAGAAAAATCCAATGATTTCCAACTAAGCTTTAACATGTTCAAACTACTTTACAAGTTTAAAGATTAATAAGATGGGAGAAATAAAACAAAACATGATGACAAATAAACCATGAAAACAATGTGACATACGCACAAGTTCTATACAGGTGCACAGAACTTTCTGAAAAAGGTGGAGAGCTCCCCTCGTGGGAGGGAGAATGGGAATTACACTGGAAAGGTAATGAGCTACAGAAAGGTCATGGGGAAAAATTATTTAATTCATGCAGAAGAAGCAACAGCAATAAAAACTGTAAGTTTAACAGCCAATTGTGATAATGGTGAACTAAAGATGTTTAAAATGAAGCTCCAATTGGATAAAGCAACATTACTCCAAGTTCACAAAAAAGAAAATAAATAATTAATACTGGGCCACAAGGCAGAAAGATGCCCCATGGCTGAGAATCCATTTTTACAGTTAGTTGCCATCTTCTGTACCTACTGTTCAGTAGGCTATAAGCCACAGGGATGGTCTACAAGCATGAACAATAGGGGCATTGCCAGTGTTAGTACCAATTAAGGAAAATGCAAGCAAATTAAATTTCTAACAAGAAGCAAAGCTAATCTGACGCCCCTTTTTTGGTTTTATGACTAAATAGTTAAACCGATCAAATATTACTTTGTTCATGTACAATAATAATCCTGAAGGAGCCATTTGCATATTTCCAACCTTATGACCAGTATTATATACAAGAAAACCTACCATAATACTACCCAAGCCTTAAATCGAGAGGGGAAAAAAGGCATCAGATTGAACATATGTACTGTGTCAGATAATACAGGGTTAGGGAGCTATGGATGTCATAAGACGAGGTTCATTTTCTACTAGGGAACAACCTTGGACCTTCTCAGGAAAGGAGGAGGAGTGTGTTTACTGGGTGAAGCAGGATGGAAAGTTCTGGTCCGGGAAACACGGCAGAGGTATGTAACAGGAGATTAATGTCCGGGACTTAACTAATGAGGAGGTAACAGTCATCTACTTTGACTGGGGGGTCTCCTCAGGTTCACTCTGCCACTCACTTTCAATCACAATAACGTTTGCCTGCGAGCGGATCCACTTGATTTTTGGCGTCTTCTTCAGTTCATTGCGGTCAGGGTCGTTGGAAGCACGGCACTCATATGTGCCAGAGTCTTCAAGGGTCAGGCTAGTGAGGTGTATGGTGCTAGTGGCATGTGCTATATATGTGGCATTTATTTTCACACGGTCGTTCCGTGCCCCATCAAACAGCTGAGTAAAAGTCTCATTTGGCTCCTCGCCCTCTACAAACCACCACTGCACCTCAGGAATAGGGTTCCCTACAACCTCGCAATGCAGCTCTCCACTGTCATTGGTTAGCTTCATCTGAGACAAAGGGGACTTGATAAAACCCGCTGAGCACAGTTTTAAAGTAAGCCCAGCAAACAAATTGAACATTTTTGAATGTGATGGGGTTAAAGCAAACCAAATGATTTAATGAATTGATGGTAGAGTGCAATGGTGAAAAAGCAACAAAGCAGGAAAGAGAAAGAAAAACAGTTAATACACAAATGAAATAAAAACATGAAAGTAAGCACACACACTCAGAAGAGAAAAAAAAATAAAACAGATCAGAGCATCATGTTCACCCAATTTCTGTAGAAATGTTTGTAATCATTTTGTCCTCTTATTAATGCTGGGTAGATTAATGAAAACATTGATATCCAATATAAGGTCTGTAGGTTCTGACTAGCTTGTATTGACTGGGCTGGCTCTAGGGGAAATAGAGTATAACACTCCCTTAAGCTAATCAAGTTTTAGATAACTGTTACACTTAATCTTGTGTCCATCTAGAGATTTAACCCTCTGGGGTGCCCAGACGCACTGGCGTGTCCAAAACACATGACCGATTTAAGATGAGGAACAAGCAACAAGATGCAGCCACTCTGAGTCTCCATTTAAACTATATACAAGTTGTTAAGTTGTCTTGATAGGCTACATAAAGTGAAAGAGCAGTATAAAAAGCTAGTTTTGAGACGTGAAAGATGTGTGACATTTGGTGTGTTTGCAGTATATAGTTATTGTGTAGTTTATTCGTTTGTTTTGTTTTCTGTCTCAAAACAAAGAGGACACTAGTGAATGCCAAAGTTGTTGCCAAAGAGCCCCATAAAGGCAGATTTCAATGCAAATCTGTCTCCAGGTAGAAAACAGGATGAATGAAACACCTTCTGTTGTCAAGCTGGCAGGTTTTTGGCCTGTGATGTGTTCCTGTGCTTGTGGTGGACAAAAAAAAAATATCTTGTGGGGGTATCACATAGGGCTGGGCCATATCATACCGTTCACGGTAATACTGGTATAATGTCGGGCAACGATAAGAAAATGAAATATTGCGATAGAATATGGGTAAAACGTGCATGCGCAGTGCCTTTGTTTTCATACGCACATGGCAGCGACAGAATGAAAAGGGCGAAAGCAGATTGTTGAATGAAACAGATGAACCAGAACTGGTTTGTAAAAATGCTGCAACTTCAGTGGTGTGGAACTGGTTTAGCTTTCGTCCATCAGATACACAACAAAACACTATTTTTGGTAGAGCATGCTAGCGGGCCATCATTATTACAGTGTTTTTTGGAAAATACGGCACACTTGAAATCAATCCTCTGAATTTTCTGAAAATCAGTGCTCCTTATAATCCCATGTGCTTTATGTATGAACTCTGGTTGCGTTTACTGACCCCGAAACGATTTTATGTGGTACACGGCGCTCAAAAATCTGTCAAATGTTTTAGTACGACTTTGCTAAGCTACGAACCTGCACCGCTTGATGGATTGTCGGAGCGTTGCGGCTATCGTAGGCCGGAGCCTCGCAGAGTGATACGTACTGTGCTTCAGCATAGTATTACAGTATTCTGTGTGTATAACCTCTTTTTAAGTTTTTTGGATATTATACATGGTTATGCTGAGGATATGTCGGCCAATTTCTACTGGCAATGCCTTTTGGTTAAACTGTCAGCGAGGAATTTGCACTGTTAACTTTTTATATAACTTTAATGCACATAAAAAAAAAAAAACAGCTGATCAAATACGTTTATTTTTTTTGCACGAATAAAGTTGTGGAGTTGCAAAGTATTTTGTCTAGTGTCAATTATATAGTTATCGTAAATTTTCAAATGTATATCATGATAAAGGGCAGCACGGTGGCACGGTGGTTAGCACTGTTGCCGCACAGCAAGAAGGTCCTGAGTTCAATTCCAACATCAGGCCGGGGTCTTTCTGTGTGGAGTTTGCATGTTCTCCCCGTGTTTGCGTGGGTTTTCTCCGGGTACTCCGTCTTCCTCCCACCGTCCAAAGACATGCAGCTTGAGGGGATAGGTTAATTGGAAAATCCAAATTGCCATTGTGTGAATGGTGTGAATGTGCGAGTGAATGTGAGTGCGAATGGTTGTCTGTCCCTGTGTGTTGGCCCTGCAACAGACTGGCGACCTGTCCAGGGTGTACCCCGCCTCTCGCCCTATGACAGCTGGGATAGGCTCCAGCGCCCCCCGCGACCCTGAAAAGGATAAGCGGAAGCGAATGGATGGATGGATCATGATAAATAATTTTTGGTCATATCGCCCTGCTCTAGTATCACAGATAATTTGTGTGGCATCTTATTATGACGCCTAATTGTTCTGCAATTTAAATTTCTGTAACAGTTTTAAATGGTTGTACACACAGAAAAAAAAAAAAGTCTTTAAAATTTGTTATACATTTTGCATTAAAAGTAAAAATAAATAAAATTTCCTACTTTGTGGTTTTTAGATCAAGTAAAGTAATGTTAACCAAGGCAAGATAAATAGTTTTTAAATGTGAAATATAAAGGTAAAATAAAAAGTAGTCAAAAACAGCCAATTACACCCTGGGCCCCAGTGGGTTATTAACCAATTTGAGTAACTTTGTATGTATTCACACAGGCTCTGTGTCAAGCATGAGCAAAGTCCAGTTTGATTAGTGTAACCCCTGCCATTGTACTTATGGGGTGGCTGTAGCTCAGGTGGCAGAGCAGGTCAGCCACTAATCAGAAGGTCGGTGGTTCGATCCCAGGCTGCCTCCTGGCTGCATGCCAAATATCCTTGGGCAAGATATTAACCCCATGTTTGCCTACTGGTGGTGGTCAGAGGGTCCGGTGGCGCCAGTGTCCGGCAGCCTCGCCTCTGTCAGTGAGCCCCAGGGCAGCTGTGGCTACAGTGTAGCTTGCCATCGCCAGTGTGTGAATGGGTGAATGACTGAATGTAGTGTGAAGCACTTTGGGGTCCTTAGGGACTAGAAAAGCGCTATACAAATGCAGGCCATTTACCATTTACAGCATGATTGCTAACCATTAATGCTTCCTTCAGCTACATTTAAGGAAAATTATTTAATTAAAAAGAAAAATCTCTGATAATGCTTTGAGGGACACTGTGTCACCGCTCTCAAAAACATCTAATTAAGCTACAAAAAGCATAAAATTATGACCCCCACTGTGCTATGGAAGAATGCTTTTCCCAAGTATGTGATCTCTCAGTCAGACTGCCAAGAATGGCTGACAAAGGTAGGTGCAGACAACCGTTAATGATCCTTCAATCCTTCAGGCCAAAGGCTGTGTTTTCATCATTCTGGTGGAAGCTGAAATTAACTGTGACCATGTTTAGGCTTTTGAAATGGGGGTCAAACTGCACCACTGCAAAGGAAAAACTTTTGAAAAGTTTTGAAATGTGATTTTTTTTTTTTAAGCCATATCTCCAAGATCTAATTAAAGGCAAATAGGGATGACCAAGCTGATGTAAAGCCAAGCCACAGCCAAACAAATTTTCTGTCAATTTTTTTTTTTTTTTTTTTAAATTATTGTCTGGACTCTAAGACTGCCGAAATGTGTTGAAATAAAATTTGAGTCCTTTTTGTATTTTCCATTTGTTTTTGATCAATCTAATTTATAGGATTCATTGCTCTGTTAATATCAAGTGTAGTCTTTGTAATCCAGTTGTACACTGGATTACATAGACTAAATGCCAGCATTAAGTATTAGCAGTTACACAATACCTTGGAACGTTTCGTCTTTAAAAAAAACAAAAAACAAAGCTTTCCCAGGTCATCCCTAAAGGTAGGTGGGAAAAAAAAAAAAAAAAAAAAAAAAAAAAAAAAAAAAAAAAAAAAAAAAAAAACCACAAAAGAAGCATGCAGAAGCTTTTGATGAAATTAACACAATTTACAATGAATGAAAGAACATGGGAAAAAAAAAAAAAAAAGCAGATGAGGTTGAATGAAAATGTTTTTGAATGAATGAAAAAACTAAATTGTGGGCATATAACCCATCTGCTGCACAAGGTTCAAACAACAGTTCAAATGGGTGCTTCTGCCAGGCTGGTCAGTACCAAAGTATTGATAAGCAGATGGACATGTGGTGTTACTATTCATACTCGAGTGCAATTAAAGCACTCCAACACAGGAATTTGAAAATATCAACTACATGACCCCTGCCGGTGTCATAAACACATTTGTCACAGAAATGTTCATATAACACTGCACATACCACATGTTAAATCAGTTTGCCGAGTTTGGCTAATGTTAACAGCGCTCAGAGCCTGCTGTTCTTGCAGGTTAGTGTCCACCAGCCTGTACAGAATGTGGTTATGCATTGCCCTGGTTGAAGTTATGTGTCAGTTTATGCCCAACCAACTTGTATGAAACTGCTCATCTCAACATTAGAAGTACTAATTAACTGCATGGGTTTGCATAGCCGCTGACCTACTTAATGGTGTCAAGAGCTGCTGGATCTTATACATGTTTAACTTTCGTTGTACATTAATGAAATACAGATTTTTTTTTTTTTCCAAACAGGTATATTTCAAGTGTCCACTGCCAAGAGTGGCAGAGTTTAGCCACCTGCAAAAAGTGCTATGTCTAAAGGGATGTCCCTGGACTCTAAATGTGATCATTACCCAGACACCACTTGGATGCAGTTAGGCTTACATTCTCTTCAACTAAAACTACAAAATTTCCAATTTAACAATAGATATAGACCAGACAGAAGAAGAACATCTGTGACGCTGTAACAAGAGCTGCAGTTTCCTAGTTTAGAATGGCTTCTCCATGATTACCAAAGGTCACCTTAAAAGCACATGCTTTTTAAAAGTTCAAAATTAAATATAGTTTAGGCCTCAACCTCAGAGTGACAACATGAATGTTAATCCAATTCACTACAAATAGCCCTCTGCACTAATAACATGAGAATCAGTCTGACGTGCTACATTTCTGTGTACTCAAAAAAAAAAAAAAAAAAAAAAGTACATGTGGAGGATTATTTGACAATAAGCTAAAACCTGTTAGGCTATTTTCAATAGCCACATAAATATATTGATGCTTTTACACTGAACTGTTCATCCCAATTTATGTTTTTTAGTCACGTGACCATCATGGAGACCTTGAGGCCACAACATTATTCCAGCATGTGATCACTTAACACTCCATAGTACTGCACCTCAGGTTAATATTCCATCTGTTTGAAGAAAAGAGAGCTCAGAACATATTACAAAAAAAGAAGAAAAAAAAAACTCTTTACAATCTAAAGAAAGCTCTCACCCAAGTATTGCAACAACTAAAAATAACAGTCCTCCCAGTAGTCTATCCCAGTTTGGTGATACTTATGTGAAGAATCCCCTTCCATACATCAGAATGAAAGCAAACAAAGAGTCAATGGATCATTAGTTGCAGGATCAAAACAGCTTTACCGAGTACTTGTGAAAAGTCAGTAATATATTGATAGATGGGGACTAATGCAAAAAGCCACTAAACACACAGAAATGTTGTCATACTCTACATTTTGCTAGTAGTCGTTAACAAAACGAGTTGCTAGTCCCAACTGAATAGCTATTCGACCTAGAGCTGGGCGATATATCGAGTTTTTAAAACATATCGATATATTTTTATACGAGATATAAGATGTGACAATATCCTTTATATCGATATAGTCTATGTTACGTTATAATTATAGTTGTGGAGCCGCAAGTTTGCCTCTCTTTCGTCCACTTTTGTCTCTACGCAACGTTACTCCGCCTCGCCTTCACTGAAGACAACTCCCCCTCCTACCCCATCGCTTCACGTGCAGGCAGCGACAAGACGGACACGGCAAATCTCCGTTAACGAGTTACTGCGCATCGCCCCATGCGTGGGGCTGGACGGCGTCAACGTGCTAACGAGCTAAACATGCTAACGAGCTAACCGCGCTAACGAGCTAACCGCGCTAACCCTAAAATCCTTTCATTCTCTCAAAAGTTGATAGCGCGCCTTATGTATGAATTCTGGTTGTGCTTGGTGGCCGCGAACCGATTTTATGTAATACACGGCGTTCAGCAATCTGTCAAAAATGTTTGAGTACGACTTTGGTAAGCTACGGAGCTGCACCGCTTGATAGATTGTCGGCGCATTACGGCTACCGAGGAGCTTCGCGGAGTGATACGTACTGTGCATCAACGTAATATTACCGTATTGTGTGTGTATAAGGACCATAAATGGCACCTGTAAGAGACGTGGTTATGAAGCGGATTTCAAACTCCAGGCTATCAGTCACACAGTAAAACTTGGGAACAGAGCAGCTGTAAAATCTGTCTGTCTTTGTTATTACGCTCAGCGTCTTTTAGTTTACATTTTGACTGCACAATTGTGAGCTCTTTGTTTAGCACAAAAACAACCTTGTTTTCTTTTATTTATGGAGCATTATTATTTAATGAATGCTCATAATTTAATTTTGAGTAATTTTTCATGTACATCTGTGCTGTATGTTAATAAAAGTGCCTGTGTGACATCTGGGACACAGCTTTGACTAAGAACTCTTTTTGTTCTTACTTTATGGCTTAAAAAAAATATCGAGATATATATCTTATATCGCCATCCAGCTAAAAAATATCGAGATATGAATTTTGGGTCATATCGCCCAGCCCTAATTCGACCTATTAACTGGCTTAGAATAGGGAGACCCAGCCTTGCTTTGTACTTTACTTGGAGGTTTGATGTAATAACTATGTATAGAAGGTGGTGGTTCTAGTAACATCTTTTTAATATTATTATTATTATTATTATTATTATTATTATTATTATTATCATCAATAATTTAAAAATAAAAATGGGCACAAAACTGTTAAACGGCTACAATGAATACACAGGTGATTTAAAGTCTTTGTTTAAGCATGTATTAAAGAAAAAAAAATTGTTTGGAAATAATTTCAATACAAATAGCCCTCTGTAGCATATGCCTACATAAATAGGTCTCACTCCCACCCACCACCCAGATTTTGGACTATGGATCTAGAGGGCACTAATCAAATAGAACACTTTGTCCTCTTTAATAATTTGGCTACAGGAGACCCATAAAGGATGAACGTGAACACTCAAATGGATAGGAGGAGAGAAAAAAAATCTGCCACCTTCAGCACTAATGCTTAGACGCTTTTATCATTAAAGCATAATTTTACTGAGAGCAAGTTAAGCAGACTCAAAATGGTGGCCAATAACAAAATGGGTGTGTTTTGAACACCATTCACAAAATTACTTGAACTGAATACTGAACAACTGATGTGTTAAAATTGCTTTTTTAATGCTTGCTTGCTCCCCTTCTCACTCACACAAAAACAACAACAGTCTTATCTACCCGTCTACTCTGTAGCCTACTTTTCATGCCAAAGTTAAACTAACAACTAACAAGGAGGTGAAACTCATGGGAGGTCTAGTGTTACTCGTGATCTGCTCCAGAACTGTTTTTTCCAAAGCAGAAAACAATGAAAGGCATGAGGGCTTCTGGCTCTGGCTTAAGTGCATGTACACATAACAACCAAACATACTGTGCACCGGTACAAGCTCCACAAAATTTAAGGTTCCAGTGGTTTTATCCTCTACTGGTAATCAAATTACTAACATTTTACAAGGTCTCAGTACACGGAGTTCCTCATTTCTCTGGATTGCCTTTGTGATGAAATTCTGAGCGGAAAATTAGTCATCTCTACTAAGTAGAGCTGATCAAATTTGTGTGAGCCAAAATTCAACATTTAAGATAGTTCATTAAAGAAATTTCAAGACCAGAGTTGTTCAGTCTTCCAAAGAGCCTCACCTAAAATTACCAGCTCATAATGACAATGCTACACATCGAATAAATACAGTCTTGTGACGCCTCCAATACTGGAGACTGTCTGGGTCAACCGGCTGATCGTCTACATTTAGTATGAACATGCTATCGGTATTCAAGCTGAGCAGTTTTGATGTTGTAAGCCATGGCCGATCATTAAGGGACACACAGAAAGGGCAATTTTAGTCTTCAGTAGATTGAGAAAACCGAGTCCTGTGTTCGTTAAAAAAAACCCCACAAGATAACGAACAGTACGAACTGTTAGCAAATGTTTAGAACATTACGCAACTGCCAGTTACATTTGAGCAACGTAAAAGATTAGAAGCAACTTGAAACAAGCTTATTTTCCACCATTTGTTGTAAATTAACATGTCCCACGTGACCTCACATTTACTATTAGCTAACGTTTGGAAAATCTTAAAATAACATCACCCAGAAATTGTTCGACACAAGGAGCGTTCTAAATGAACAAGAAAGAACGAGGCGAAGGAGATTTGTAATACTAGCGATATATACCATGTGTCACGAAGCGGTTGGAAGGGTTTTTATGTATCGCACAGAAGCAAATCGGCTAGCTAGCAACAATGCTACGCCTATGTTTTCGACATCATGTTTCTAACCGTTTAAGGACAGCTTTTAGGTTTTTATATAGAACGGTATTCAACATCGAGAATGAAAAATAAAATACCAAATGCGACAAACATTACTTTTACAAAGCAGGGACACTGAAATCTAAACAAATAAATTAATAACGATAATATTCGCAGTCAATGCAAAGTCTACATCTTCGAACAACATGGCTGACACAGAATTCTTACCTGTGGAGGCATCGGCTCGCCAACAGCTCAACAGAAGGGCAGTGACAGCCCACAATAACTTCATTGTTGATAATAAATATTTACTAGGTCGTCGAATAACCTCAACGTTAACCGCGTTTAGCTGAATGTTCTCTCCGCTGATTGTACGGACTGAATGCCCGGAGCTGAGCCGATGCGGTTGTCCTCCAGTTTTCACCTCACGCACACGCCCTGATCAGCACGTACACCGTGACGTTTTTAGAGGCGTGGCTACTTTTTTGTATAATTCATGCAACCCAAAGTAAAACCTTGTTCCATTTTTATATTCCATTTAATAAAATTATATTTTTGTTTTAGCATCACAATATCTTAATACATTTGAAGTTTAGCTCAAAGCTAATCACGCCACCATTCTGAATCGCAGTCTGAAACGGAAACTCATCTAGATTAGACGTTCAAAGTATGTCAGTGTTTTTAAGGAGATGTTTACATAAATTAAATGTAAGGAAAGGAATCAATAGCAGAAAATAGAAAAGAAGTATGAATAGAACTGCGGTGCCTATGAGGCAATTTAAAGCAAAAGCAGGAAATAAAAAAACACAGAGGAAAGGACATTAGAAGAAGAATAAAAAATTTCAACTAGTTTTGTTTGGGAAAACACATCCAACCTAAACGTAGGCTGTTCTTCACAGGTAAATGGCTAGAGTAAAAACAAATGGAGTTTTGGAATGAATATTAAATAATATTTAAATAAGATAATCCATCCATCCATTCGCTTCTGCTTATCCTTTTCAGGGTCGCGGGGGTTAAATAAGATAATTCTTCTGGAAATATAAAAAATACTCCAACATGAAATATTTAAATATTTTCATTTTATTCAGGTTTCTGTTATTAAAAGATTTGCAAAACCTGCAGCTCTAGAAAAATAAAGCCAATACATATTCACATTATGTATTTTTTAAAAATCATAAGTCTAGACTTTTAACCGGCACCAGAACCACTGAATCTACAGCAACCAAATATTTAATAAGCCTGATATATTCCAGCTTCACAGCTAGAAGGCAAAACAACAAGGTCAACAATGTTTTGTATCGTTTGTTTGTTTTTTTTTAAAGAAAGATTATGAATCTGTAATTTCCCCTTGTGAGAGCAAACTCTGAGCTATATGTATTCATCTGTCTTCCAGTAAGATCAGTGTTCTGTCCATAACAATGCCATCTTTGAACATAAAACCCCTGATGTGCAGTACAATGTAGAGGAAATACACCCATATGGCTAAACAATTAAAGGAAACAGAATTTATTGGCTTCTTGATAACATTAGACAGGCAAGTACACCAGTGAAGGATTTAATATAGAATCTGTTTACTAGCTGCATGCCTTTGGACCAGGCCTTACTTTGAAAGTACAAAATTATCACAAAATCTTATTATGCATTGAAAACAGGTCCAGAAGTGCTCACTAATGGGGTCATTGTTCCTTGGTTGATGCTTGGCTGTTCTGGACAGCTTTGAAGGCGTCATGACAGGAACAAATAATTTAGACTGGGAACCAGAACAACTTAAAAGTTCACCATATCATTAGTTTTTTTTTTTTATTTGGTACTTGAACAAAAGGGTATCAAGAGGGTATGTTTTAACCTCTCCTCTTTTAAAATGACCCAGTTTTTATGATTACTGCACTACCATTTAGTTTTTAAACCACAGCACCACAGTCAGAGTATAAAAAAATGAATACACGTAAAACACTGTTGTTGTAAGACTTATTGGAAAGCCTTTAGAGTATTGTAACCACACCCTAAGAATGACTTACAGGAAATGAGTGCTAGCACCCAAACATCTTTATTTTCATCTGTTAGACAGTTTTGTCTGTACATGATCATACTGCAAATCAAGAGGAATTCAACTGGCAACTTTTGAAAATATTTATGTTTAAATTAAAATGCACAGAAATGTTTCAAAATGTATCACGTGTATCATATGTGGAAACATCTTTTATGGTTGCAAATATAAATCATAAAGTATGTGGCAATTGATAAAAAATTTACTGCAATTTAACAGATCATTTCAAGTGCAAACAATGGTACCTGTGTGATTCAGGTAATCTTAAAATAGCAAGTACAGGTTGACAATAAAATAATTATAGAAACTATTGTCAGTTTTTTTTTTAAAGAGCTAAAGGGGTCAGATATAATATTGTTTCAATGTAAGTTCAAAGTGCACGCTTAAGCAGTGCACTATAGTGCATTTTGGGTCATTTAATATGCGAGATATGAATGCTCCTTAAAAAGGGATAGCTTTATTATTCTCTTGCTTTACTGAAAAAAGTGGGTCATCATAAAACAAACAAATCAAGAGATTGAAAAATGAGAAATAAAAAAAAGAACAGCAACTGTCTTGTTCTAGTTTTCTACCTTTGGATTCTTTTTTTCTCTTCTTGTATGAGGTGATTCAGGCAGATCAAGCCTCTTTAAGTATCCATGCTTCTATGCATCCTCCCTGACTGAAGGTGCACTCCAGGCCTCTGCCCTTCCTTTGTTCAGAATCCTGATGAAGGTGGGAGCAACAGGATGGGCAGAAATACATGGGCCTCATGTATCACTTATCCGTGAATCAGCGTGAGTGCTCCTGGGGAGATGCACTCAGGTTTCGGCCCTTCGGCAGGGAGAGGATGGAGGTCACTGCTCTGAAGTACAGCAGCCTGAGAGCTAAAAACAGCTCATGGGGTGACACATGTTCTTCCTACGAATTATCTGTGGAGTTCTCATTGCTGGTTGAACTTGAGGACTGGGGTGTTGAGGAGGATGATGATGAGGAGGAGGAGGAAGAGGAGGAGGTAAAATTCATCCCTGATAGTTCTGGAGGGTTTGTTGCTGTGTTCTGTCCACTCAAGCTTTTCCTGCACACTGGACAAGTGTCATGCTGGAGAAAAATATAAAACCTTTTTAGAGTCCCATTTAGCCCAATGTTTCAGTCAGCAACAACTGAATATTTACTGTAAGGGTAAAGAATACTGAATAGATGATGTCTAGTACCTGTTCCAACCAAGGGACTATGCAATCATTGTGAAACATGTGATTGCATGGGAGCTGCCTCACATTTTCACCAACACTGTAATCTTCTTTACACACTGGACATTCCAGTCCTGAAGCTGAAATGTCAAAAAATATAGTTAAATATGGTGCAAATAGGTCAACAGTTAGTTCTGGATGAAACTTTTACTGACAGGCAAATAGCATTAGGACTTATTTTTCAGGAAAAGCTCCATATTCTTTAATATCCAGTGGAAACATTTGTTAAGTTAGGAGCAAGTATATTCCCATTATTAGTATTTTTAAAGTAAAATAGTGACTTATAATACCCTAAAGTTATTTACTTAAATCTACAAATAAATAGTCATACTTGATTAAAAAGAATAAGTCAAACAACTGAAATCTGATGACATACTTGCAATAGCCTGCAAAGCTGTTGTAACTTTTTTAACTTACCAACATGCTCATCTGTAATTTGTACTGTAGGAAGACTTTTTATTTTATCTCTATCAGCAGGTGGTGGTCCTGTATTCTCAAACTGATTTAATAACTAAACATTAAAGAAAGGAGAATATTAGAAAGGAGGATAAATTGAAAGACACATTTCATTCGCATCAGTATCTACAATGTTAATACAATCACTTAAAAAACAAAGTTTCTAAAAGAATACCTGTGTTATAATAGCATCTAATCCATTAGCACCCCAGGCATAGTCCATAGGATTTGAGTGAAGAACACCCCTTTAAAAAGAATGGGACATTAGAACAAAGTAAGCACATTTTGGTGTGAACTCCCACTCTATTTTAACACATCTATTTCACAAACTCACCAGGGTCCAACACCAATGTTTGGCATTGCCGTAGGTGCAATTATTCCATTTACTAGCTGCTGAATGATTCTATGAAAAAGAACATAAAAAGATATGACAGAGTAGGAGGCAGGAATATTAATAAATTGCCCAGCAAGCACAAACAAAACAAAACGAAACAAAACAAAACACCGCTTCACTTCACAATCTGCACTCTTTACCCCTCTAAAGTGGGAACTCCCTCGTGTCTCCCTGCTTGTCGTCTTGAACCATGGCGACTTCTTGGTTGCCTGGCACCATATCGTTGCCGAGATGCAGCTTCCCTTTCCCGACGGTTTTCAGCATCCCTGTTATCCTCTGTTGTGAGTCCAGCCCCAAAGTCAAAGCTATCATCAAAGACACCCAGGGCAAACTGGCCATAGCCTGAAGGGAATGTAAACAGGTGCTGGTCCGCATTCTGGGACACAAATAAATGAAAGCAAACACACTGACTTGGTACAAACAAGTGAAGCTTTTGGAGTACAAACACCCAACTTTTACATTCAATACAAAAACACTTTGAAAGTTAATGGTTTGGTTGATAATTAGGTCAAGGTTCACCAATGGTACAGTCACAGAATGCTGACTTGCAGCATTTCCCTGTTTACTGATCATTAAAGCCTGAGTAACTATCACTTTTAAAAAAATCTTTAGATTACTGATGCCTATTTTTAACAGGGAAAAGTAAAGCTAGACAAATTATTCAATAAAATACACTGTAAAGCTCAAAACTGCAGCTTCAAAAGCTAAAGTGCAAACTCCAAGACAAAGTTCATCATGCATGATAACATATTAGCACAAACGTCACTGGAAGCAGTTTTAAGAAATGCTGACTCTGTTACACAATAGTGTGCATAACAGAGGCAGAGCGGTACAAAACAGGGGGAGGTTAGATGATAAAGACAGAGTCTGAATAAAGAATGGGTTAGAAACCTCAAATGGTTGTTGATTCTGGGGCCCGCTGGAGATGGTAGACATGGAGCCATTGTCAGCACTAAACAGGGGAACATCATTGAGAGTGTTATGTTTAGACCCAGTGACATCAAAGGAAATGACCATGTGTCAACGTTTTTATCCTTTTATATATTTGTAATGTTTTGCTGCCATTTCACTTTGTTTTCTAGATTATTTACTTTTTGCAAACTGTTACCATGTACAACTTAGAGGATAACATCATTAAAGACACCTAAAAAAGGACAAAAACTCATGGCCATATGTTGATTACATCAGATTAGTTATTAGATTTTTTAGGCCACCCTTTAATGGAAGAAAATAACACAATCTTCCATCTCACAGTATATGCAAAGCATATACGGAAACATTTATATTTAAGCAAGTGAATTAGTTTGCTTTCTATTTCTGCTACTGGAGGTTTCCTAAATTTCATCATCTACAACTAATTATGGAATGCTCATCCTACTGATTTTCTAATATATATATATATATATATATATATATATATATATATATATAAAAAATCAGAATCAGAATACTTTAAAAATCCCTTTAGGAAATGATGTGATTTATTTCTTTGTTCCTTTCGAGAAATAGGAAATATACAGACATATATCAACAAAAACTACAAAATTTGTTTTACACAGGGTTAAACTGTTTTCAATATACACTTTTTACACACCTTCTTTCTTCCAGCAGTTCTTCAATAAACCCTGACTCACATCTTGGACATGTATACTCCTGTAAAACAAGACAGTAGTATGAGCAAACACATAATGTTGTTCTCTGATTGTGAGGAAAAAAACCCTTTCAATTCTAATAACAAGATGTACATTCTTTGCGAAGTGTAATAATTATTGCCATTCATGTAACATTATTCCCTACAAAATACTTTCTTTGCTTCCTCACTCACAATTTACAAAGAGATAAATTGATTTATCTGCAAATGCTACATACTATTTTAACTGTAAGAGTTAATGCATCTGCAGCCAGCATTGATTAATACAATTTATTTTTCATTCAAGCTATCCAGAAAAAAAAGACTGAAAACAGACAAAAGGCAACTTTAACCTTTAATCAAAAAATGATCACATAACTGCTTGTCATTTAAATCTTACATATTTGCAAGTGACTCCACAGGCTACATCAGGGTATATGTTAAGCAACTTATGCTTAACATATACCCTAGACTGGAAAAGCTTACTTTCAGGGTTTTGGTTAAAAAAAAAAGAAAATCAATTGCAAGTATTTTCACCGATTACTTTTGTTTAAAGTGTGATGGACTGTAAATAAAACAGTTGTTTAAATGTATTTTATTCTAATGTGGTGGGACGTGTTAGTGCAGTCTATGTGCTGCTGTTGTTTCTAAAAGGAAAAATAAATAAATAAATATATTAACTTGTGTATGGTTACACGTGGGTATAGAGCCTGAAAGAATAAGATCATGCGTACAAGAGGCGGAAATTAGCTTCTTTCGAAGGGTGGCTTGGGTCAGCCTTTGAGACAGGATGAGGAGCTCAGTCATTAAAGTAGGGGTCAGAGCCACTACTCCTCCATATCAAAAACAAGCTAGCTACGGTAGATGAGCATCGCAGTAGGATCCCTCCTAGGTGAGCTGTTTCAGGTCAGCTTAAAAAAAAAATAGAAGATGTCTCTTTGATTGATTGATTGATTGATTGATTGATTGATTGATTGATAGATATAGATAGATAGATAGATAGATAGATAGAGTTTTTCTCACTTAATTGGAGTAGGTTTGGTCATTTCAGTTTAGTTCCATGGTTTAAAAATTATTGGGATGGGGGGTTATTTTTTAAAGGGAACCCCGACTATTATTACAAGTTACTCTAAATATGTTACAAATTATCTCCACTACATAAAAACATACTTGAGAATAACTACATTTTTTTTTGTTATTCATTAAATCTTTGTTATTTAAAACTATTTTGGAGCCGTGGGAGCAGCCATGTTTTTTCGCACACAATGCATTCTGGGACGATGACGTGTATTGGTTGTCGGTAGTATAGGTGCTTTCGTTCAGTTAACCTGTTTTGTTTTTTAAAGTGTAGCAACCGTATTGACTAACTTGCCTATTAGTGACCTGGTTACGATTTGGTAGAACCACCGAGATAATCCATCAACAATATAAGGTTAGTCATTAATATAATGCTGCTGCATCGGCTGGGCTAGTTACATCGTAAGGGTTTAAAAACCGAGCTTTAAAGTGATTAGCGGTAATACAAACCGTGAGAAGCCGACAGTGATCACTGACTGTTTTTAGGGGATTGTTGAGATTAAATCGAATAAGATACAAAGCATTGAAACGTGTTAAAAACACAACAGTCTTATTAAATGCAGACTACTTTGGGCCCAGAAACACGATTCATAATGTTGTGTTGTCATAATGTCATCACTTAAAGACCGGATACCGGTCATGGAGGCTAACAAGGGCCGCCCAAAGAACATGTGGATTAAGACATACGGCTTCAAAAAGTTTTGGTGCTTTACAACAAACGCTCTCAGTCGCTGTTGCCATTGGCAAGCAATAGCCGCATAGGCACCAGTAGTTTTCCCTCACTCTCTCGTCCTCGTGTGGCGGATTGTTTTCATCTTCATCTAAACTAGGTGCTGGTTGACTATTTTCATTCTCTCTCTCGGTTTGCTCTGGTTCAAACTGGAAAGGTTGAACAGAAGCCATTTCCAGTGTGCTGCTAACTGGATGCGGTGCAACCGTATGACATCACTACCCAGAGTGCATTGAGAAGTAAATAACAATGGCGACCTACTGGTAAATCGGTTTTATATAAAATGTGCTTAAAAGGAAAACATTTGGTGTATTTTAATATCACACATGTTTTATTGAAAGCACAGTACATATTTTAGCGCAAACATGTCTTAATAGCCGGAGTTCCCTTTAAGTTTTTGACATGCATTTGTCACGGTTTACAAAAACGATAAACGAAGTTCATAACATCTGTTACAAAAAAATCGCATTTACAAATCTATTTCTAATAGGAAAAATTATGAATAAAGTCATTCCCTACACATTTTCAGTATAGTTTAATTTGCATTACCCAATACTGTTCAAGATATTTTCTGTCCCTTGTGCCCCGTTTTTATCTCAGTTAACTGAGAAGACATCAAAAACAGAAGTGGAAGTCTGACTGGTCAAAATGAAATTTTATCACATATAGCTTACATATAATCCATCGTAATATGTACATTTATATAATATCAGTAATATCAAAACAAATATGTACAATTTCGATATTATCAACCAACACTAGTGGAATGAATAACAACTGCAACCAATTACACTTGAATTATGTTCTTCAAAAAAGCCAAGAATAAAAAGTCGCTAGTTGTTCACATGTTAGAGACATACACAACAGCACATTCCAAGTCATTTTCACCACCCTACACAAACCGTTAGCTGATATTTGACACTCTAAACGGCATGTTTAGCATCCTGTGATAGATCCTTTCAGCCGGACTGACAGAAACATGCACACAAGCGATTAAAAAAAACTGTTCAGTTTGAAAAGAATTTTCCGATATAATTATGAAAGTCCCGAAGTCTATAATTATAAAGATTCCAATTCTACCGTTAGTTACTGCTAGTAAGTGTAGCTAGCGGTCAGGCTAATACCCATCGAAATCCCATCAAATAAGGACCAGCATTTTTTTCAAAAGATATTACAAATTAGAAATCCATCTGTCAGTGAGGCTTACGCAGTTTGACGTTGTATAACAGCCGATCCTCTATTTAGAGGAGTAGCTAACTAACTGGGCAGGGTTGGCGAGATAAACGCTACATCGTAGGAATCTGCTAATACCGTTAGCATGCTAATTGTTGTCCTCTTACTAAAACAATACATAAGAAAGTACCGCCGATCCCATCGCGTTTTCAGTTTGTCCAAATTTTATTCTCTACAATTTTTATCCACTACACTTACGGGAAGCCGAGGATTGATCTCTGCTGAGCATCTATGACAGAAAAACCGGCTGGGCCATGGAGGAGCTTCAGCCATCATTAGCTACTAAACAGGTAAAGAGGAAAAACTACGGAGCCCCGAAAAGGACAATCAGGACACCACGCGAACTTGCTAGAAATGACGCTGACCTTGTGAGTGAACATAAACACTTAATATTACAATGTGAGGCTTTAATAAAGCTATTGTCGACATAGAATGCAATGAAATGTTATAGTCAGTTTAATATTTTGTAATAGATTACATGGATTTGTTAAGTTTTATTTATTTAACAGGGACAATTCATGTTACTGGACTTCGATATTCCAAAAAATATTAGACGTAAACATTGTAGATCACAGTGAACTGCTGACACTGTCATATAAAAACTTTGCCATAAAAAATACAAAAATAAAAACAAAAATAACATAGATAGAATTAAGTTAATAGTGACTGTGGATGGTGCCATAAATGTTGCCCTTGGTAAACCTCAACATTCAGTTTCCCTTACTGACAGGATGGAAGGATAGATAGATAGATAGATAGATAGATAGATAGATAGATAGATAGATAGATAGATAGATAGATAGATAGATAGATAGATTCCACAACCACAAGGCAAATTATTGCATTACAGCAGTGGGATAAAGTATTAAAAAAATTGTATATACAAAAATGATTACAAAAAATAAACAAAAACACAAGTTAGAGAGTAAAAAGAATTTGAATTAATAAATAGTATGTACACAATAAATATGACAAACAGCTACAAGAAGGTATGATACAGAAATATGAGTGTGAAATCTTGTGCCTGTCACACAAAAAAAGAGTTATTGTATAGTTTCATGAAGAATGCTAGGAATGAGCTCCTGAAATATCATTATGGCAGTTGGGTTGAATAGATCTGACATTTATTGGTTATTAAATATATATATATGCATTACAATTAGAATGTGTGCTTTAAAAAATCACACATGTGGTTTACAAAATGCCACCACATGGTGGTGCTTTTGTGTATCAAGTGGTGACTTGAGGGTATTTCACAGTGTAGCCAGTGACTAAAGATACTACTCACTCTTGACAAGTTTCTCATTTCTGTCCCATGATAAATAATAAATATGCAGTTTAGTTTTTGCCTGTTGTAAATGAGGATTCATACTAATATGTTAGCTTAAAAGCCTTAAGGAACTGGAGACTGGTCAATATAATTACCCCCAGTGAATCTGTATCACCACACAGTGTCTCCACTGAACTCGTGTTATCCCTGCAGGTTCATTGCCCCCCTGCTCACCGTCTTCACATGACAACCAGAGATGTGTTTTTGCAATTTGGCAGCACACTAGATTTATTTTGACACATGCTACTTTTCCATTGGATTACTGTCAACCACCTTATGAGCCAACAGGCATGCTCCAAGTATTTAAAGGTTTTGTAGCATCTGTTTTTGAACAAAACTATTTCATCAAATGTGGATTTTGTATTTTTCATGTGTCAGTGTTTGACAGCAGTTATTGGAATATCATCAAGTGTCAAACCTGAGACAGAAGACAGTAAAATAAGTAGTCACTCACACAGGAAAAAAGGTTGTGTTGTTTTAAATTCTTCATCAATCTGGTGGCCCTGAGATAGCAGTGAAAGGTCTCAGACATCACATAGTTGCATAAGGGCTGGAGAGCAAAATGATTGATTACACTTTGTTTTCAGGTCTGTTTTTATTTTTGAGGTTGTCAGCTAAAATCTAAGCAATATTTTTATTATACACAGGTGTCCTTAATGAGATTACCTTAACAGCAGACTCATGGCTATAAACATATCACATAAGTCTGGAGTCACATCACATGTTGACAGCAAGTAGGAGTTCCCATCTGACCAGCCATTGGCCAATCAGGTTTCTAAACCCTTCTGGCCTGATTTTTACATGAAAACATTTGCTTTCATGCTCTTGGTAACAACAGGCCTATATGCACCCAGCCTCGGGTATTTTTTTGTGTTTAGTGTTTGCTATTTTGCACAAACAACAAATAACCATGTATATCTGTAAATGTGTTATGCAAAAAAAAGTCAGTAAACCAATCAATAGCTTAAAGTATGGTATGGCACAGTGAATCACTGGAAAAAAAATGCTGGATGTTGCCACACAGCAAAGCTAACAATGTAACCAAGTTAGTTCCTAATGTGCTCTCTAGGTTGATGTTGTGTCTGATCTGGCCATGTGGGAGCAGGAAAGACACGACTGTCCCATGGGCTGAGATTAGAGAGAGTCTGATAGCACCGAGGTTTGCTATGTCTGCCAGACTGAGGTAAGCTATTGTCTCCCTGAACCCAGTGCGTCACTGCCATTGCAGTTGAATGCTCATTGTAGCAATGCAATCTGGGGACTGAGTGACCGTGGGTCAGAATGAGGTCATGTGGGCAGCAGAAAACAACTACCAAGAGACCTTCTACATCATAGTTTTAGGTATAGAAGTTTAAAGTTGCTTTTAAACACTGGATATTTACCCTAAAACTTTGCAATAGTTGAAAATAATTTAGTCTGTTTTTTCATGGAGCTGCGATAAAGCAGCTTTTACCTTTTTAAGTCAGACTTTTAATGAATTAATTAATAAGACTTTTTTTTTTTAAGTCTGATTAATCTGCACGCTTACATTCACATGAAGTAACTCCTAAATACAATATTTGGTATTTTCATGACCTACTTTTAATAGCTTAATTTATATTGAACTCAAAAAGACGGCAAAGTGTCGCAGCCAAGGGAGCAGACAGATATGGTGCAAGGGACACTGCTGCTTTTGTCACTCCATCAAGTTTTTCCAGACATTCCCGCCAGGATTGCCCCACACTGTTCCCCGGGGCCCCAGAATCACACTAACATACACACATAAATACACACACATGCAGACACTCAGCAATAACAGCCGCCTGCTGGAACTTCCTGGGCCTCTTAGTCATGCGTCACTTGTTTTCAGTCCCACCCATCGAAGACTCTCTCTTCCTCCAGACATACTCTGTCTGATGCCATGTGTCACAAAACTTGTGCATTACTTGCATTACACACACACACACACACACACACACACACACACACACACACACACACACACACAGCCAAAACATTAGTGGTGGTCAAAGCTCTCTTTAACAAAATAAAACTTATACGTCTAAGAACATGAAGATATGCAAAGCTTATAATCATATGTGAATCACAGCAGGCATCCCAGCGATGTTTTTCCGCTCTGCATGTTTCAGGATAAACCTCCATGGTACAGCGTTAGTACATAAGTGTTTAGGATTACATCACTGAGCAGCTAACAAAATATAGATGTTGCTAGAGGAACACATGTGTACAATTAGCTACTTAGTTTCAAATGACTTGTTGTAGTAGAGTGTTTGTGGTAACTGCAGATGTTTTGGCAAACTTTGATTTTGTCTGGTTTCATCAAGCAGTTGTTGCATTAAGTCGTGGTAATCAGTCCTGATCACTAAGAGTGTGTTTTTTATGCCCTTGACCCAATCAGTATCTTTTTGTATTTGCTTCAGTGCCATCTAACTTTGGATCCTCCTGATTTTTTCCTCAAGAACCACCATTACATTTTTATTTCTATTTTTCTGTTTAAGAACCACTGGCTGAACTGTCATACATTTGCCTGGTCAAACATCAGTGTTACCACAGGAAAAAAAAACTGTAATCATTTTCTGCATAAACTTCAACATAGAAATTTTGGGTTTGCTCATATGATTGGAAAGGAAGAGTCACTGAGTCACTCATTCTCCATGAGGAATGAAGAGTATATTCAAATCTAAGTGGGTATTGATACCGTGAGGAAATAAGCTACAGTTACAGTTTACAATAAAGAAACCATGTAAGTAATAGGTTGCTGAATACAGTCTCAGAACCACTGAATGTGCTACAAAGACAACATAAGCCATGTGTGAATCACTCAAGCTGCTGGAGTTTAACAAGTTTGTCAAAGAGACAGTACAAATACATCATCTAGATGTTCTAGTTTAATGACTAAATGTTTTGAGTTGGGTAAAGTGGGAAATCCAGAGTTGAGACATTGAGACATAAAGCAAGTTAATCCCCCCACACCACAATAAAGAATATCACTATACCTTTTTAAAACTTTTTTTAAAATACTTGGTACAAAGAAACCAAACAAAAAAACCTATGTCTGATAGTCACCCCAGCTATTGGAAGCCGCTAACCTGGATATCTTGACAGTGTTATTGGTGCTAATGGCTTCTAGAGCTTATTTAATGCAGTTAGCTGGCAAATACCAGTGTGCTGCCTGATTGCACAGATTCTTCATCCAAGAAATCTGGTGAGTGAAATTCAAGTAACCCTGCAGCAGATTGGCGAGCCGTGCAGGGCGTAACCTACGTCTCACCCTATGACAGCTGGGATAGGCTGTAACCCAACCGTGACCTGAATTAAATAATTGGAAGAAAAAGGAAGGATGGAAATGTAAGCATTTCATTTGTGTGTTACTTAGTATTAATCGGAAAATATCTGAGAAGGTGCATTTTCACCCATACATAGTAAATGTTGCTAACCAGTCCATTGCATAGAAAACATAGCACCCTCACTTCTCGCTCAAATGTAGCCGCTGGTGTCAGCCATAATGCTACACCCCAAACTTTAAATGCAGAGTCCACAAACCAGTGGGTGACATCAAGGTCACTATATTGTTCTGTTATGTAGAAAAGTCCATGGCTTTTACATGTTTTGTATAGATGTGTAAAGGTATTGTATGTCTGTCTGCATGAATGAAACTACAGAGTGCCATAATACTCATAGAGCATCAACAATGTTTGTGTGTCTCGTACCAGCAAAAGCGTATGCTATACACCACTAGAGTGTCCGCTAAACACGGTGTCAGTTCATTTAAACCATCTGTTTGTTTATAAGATGTTAAGCTTAGCATTCTGGGGAATAGATGCCATATGAATCTCCTGAGCTTGTCATTGGTACATTTTTCTTCAGCTAACAAAGGTTCTCTGAACAGGTGATTTAATTAGGTGTGTCCTGGTGGCTATTGCAGAAGTTCCTAATGAGCAGGAGAAATGAAATGAAAAGGCAACTTTTCCATTCTCATCTTTACTGAATTTA